CTGAGGAAGGGTCACCGGACCCGAAACGTTAACTCTGTTTTCTCCTCACAGATGCTGCCAGACCTGCTGAGCTTTTCCAGCAACTTTGTTTTTGTTCCACCTTTTTCATGTGTCTGTTTCCCTTCTCACTGCCCCTCCCGCGCCTCCTCTCAACATAGTATTGTAGCTAAAACTTGCAAAATTATTCCTATAACATTGATTATAAATATCAGTTAAGCCTCAGATTTCTCATAAAGAAATTCTAACAGTGTTAGACTTTCATTTAGGTCATCATGGTTTTCCTCAATGTTTCTATTTTTGTTTTATTTGATAAAACATAGGCCTTGTCTAAAGATGATAAATGTATCCAGACTTCACCTGAAGTTAAAGCAGCATCGGAGACTGAACCAGTGCAGCAATGTGCTACCCATGTCCTAAGAACAGCTACTGAGACAAATCAGGAACTGGATGCTTTAGAAATGCCTTATGACACTGCTGCTGATGATGATCATTCTTTAGAGTCTGGAAAGTTAATGAAGGAGCTGAATAAGGTTTATTGCGAATTGGAAGATAAATGTAAGCAGTTGGAAGAAATGGAGAAGCAGCTGGAGATAACGGAATGTCATTTGCATGAAGTGGAAGCAAAGCAGCTCCAAATGGAAGAGGAAGTTAGTGCAATGAGGTTATTAATGGAGGATAATGGTGTATCATCAGTATCTGATTTCAGGTAGGTGCTGTGCATTTCTGCAGTTATGCCCATTTATCCATATTAGTGAAGTGGTGATGCTCTGAAGACTAGTTATCATGTCATTTACTTGATTCCAAAGCTGATAATTCTGTGGAGGCTGATTGTCTGTCTGTTTTCCTCTGTATCTCCCCTTGTTCCCTCTATTTCTTGGCTGAACCTTTTAATAAATTTTGATTTATCTGGTTGCATTTGATATCTTATTTCCTCCACCGCTGCAAATTAAACTTGAAAGCTTCACTAGCACACAAAAAAACTTATTGCGGTATTAAAAAGGACAAAGAAATGTGTTATATTTGTGAATGAAAACATGGAGAGTGAAAGAAAGTGTTAAAGATTTGATTTCAAATGTTATTGACATTTTTTCAAAGCATCGCACACTTGGAATAATTGGTGTCTGTTAATCCTATATTGTAAATGAAGTATCTGAAATAATTTAAAACAGCTTATTCAGAGATCTTTTCTAAACAAAGCCTGCATCAAGTGCTTTAATACAGTAAGCATAATTTAATCATAAATGTATCTGATGGACATTACTCATGACATTTTTATTTTATATATGAACGGATCATCTGTATATGGCACAGCCCATCCTTAAACTGATTAATTTGATAAACTTTCTATTTTCTAGGAATGAAATTGTGAAATTGAGAACAGAGATAACTGAATTACGAGATCAACATAGAGAAGATCCAGTAATAAGTGAGAATGAAGACACAGAGGAACGACTCAATAATGAGAGTGAAGGTGACCTAAGAAAGATAGTATTGAGGTTAAAAATTAAACTGAAGAAAAACAAAAAGATAAACGACCTTCTTAAGCAGCAAATAGAACTTAACTGCTCTGGAGACAATGAAAATAGTTTTAACCCTGACTTGATTGTAAACATGGCAAAAGAAATCGAACACCTGAAAGCTGAACTGGAAATTGCAAATCAAAAGATAGCAAGCACGGATAGAAGACTGAAAGAAACAAAAACTAAAGAGCGGAAAGGTCTCCAAGGATCAAAGCTGCCGCGGTCAAAATCTTTGGAGTTAAGGAACAACAAGGCCAAGAACAAAGAGCAGATGTCCGATCAATCTGGTTTATCTGCAGCAGTAAGTTCTCCAGTCTTTCTGTTAATTTTATGTTTTAGAGTTACTTTGTTGAAAAAGTTCCAATTTCCAGGCTTACCTTTTGAGGACAGTACCATGTGCAAGCAACTGTAGACTTCAATATGAAAGTATGTTTACAGTCAATTTTCTACTATCACTGGTATTTATTGATTCAATTGTCAAACATTCTCCAAAAAAAGACGATTTTTTTCTTGTCAGGTTTTTTTTTCAAATATTAAAGTGTCCTTGATGCAATTTGTTCCATTTTGTCAACTGTCAAAATTGAATGAATGGTTTAATTTGGATTTTTACCTTGACTAGTTATATTCACCCAAAAATCTGTGGCACAGTTCATTTGAGTCAAGTTACCTGATGATACTTAGACATTTTTACTGGCTACAATCTATAATTCTGGTCTGCATTTGATGCCCTTTTAATGTGATGTCTGAGTTTAAAACTTATGTGAAATGCAGCTAAGAGACAGTCAGTAGGTTTTACAGTTATGATCATGCGGCAAACATCAGTGAGTGATTGGTCACACCAAGCTCTGCAGTTTCTCATTTACGTATTTTGCCTCCAAAATGTGTGTCTGAATTGTAACTTTGGAGGTAGGTAAAAGGAATCGTGTCTATCTGGGTTCTGGAGCTGCCCATGGGGGTAGCAGTTACTTAAAGTTATAGTTGTTTATGGCACGAAGAAAGGCCATTCAGGCCATCCAGTCATTGCAATCTTTCTGTGGAGCAATTCAGTCAGTCCTACTTTCCCATTTGATCCCTGTTTTATGCAAGTTTTAGTTCAAGTCCCAACCCAATTTCCTTTTCAAATCGTTGGCCATCTTGGCTTCCCCCACCCTTGTAGGGAATGAGTTCAAGGTCATTAACAGTAAAATAAAACATATTTCCTCACACTTTACCTGCACCTCTTGTCCTCAACCTTATATCTGTGTCCCTAGACCTTTTACTGTCAGTCAATAACAACAACTTTCCCTTGTCCACCTTATGCAAACTTCTACGCTTCTGTCAAATTTCCCCTCAATATCCTTTGTTCCAAGCAGAACAACCACAGCTTCTTCGACTTAACCATACAGCCAAAATTCTCTATCTCTGCACCCTTTCTGGTAAATGTCTGTGCCCTCTCAAGGACTCTTAGGTCATTCCTAAAGTGCAGTGACCAGAACTAGAACTAGTACTAATCTCAGTTTAGTTCGCTTGGCCATTTATCCAGAATAGAGCCAAAGCAAAATTTGACTTTTGGTCTGTGACCAAAAGAGAAAGAAAGGAACCTTATTCCTGGCCTTTGCCAAACTTGATGCAGAAATATTTTGAAGTAGATAATTTTTACTTCTTGGAATTTGGACTAGGACATGGGACACGTTCCAATTAACGGCACATGCTCTCTCTAAGCTAAAAGGCAACTTAGAAGTATGCTTTCTGTATATATTTTTATGTGGCAGAAGGCAGCCTCTGTTGGGAAGGAGGAGATCGTTCCACAGTGTGATCTTGGCTGCATTACCATCCAGGGAAGGAGTAACTTCAGGCCTGCCTGGAGAACTGATAGCTCTGTTTGGATTCAGCTATCCACCCCATCCCCCCAAACTCGCTTTGCTTTAGGAAATTGGAATCATAAATTCCCAGTAAGTCCTTAACTGCTCTTTAACAAGTCTTTTTTTAATTGGCCTAAATGACTGCCCGCATCAGTATTTCAGGGATCCATCTGCATCTGTTCCTAACCTCAGTGGGGGCCAAAAGCCACAGACTCTACTGCTTGCTGCATAAAACATTAAACTTGATCATTATGTATGGCTGTCTTTTTTTAATGTATCTGAAATAAATTAGACGAGGTGAAGAAATATTGAAGAGTATTTTTTTACTCCACCCACATGTAACCAAATACAAAATATACAATCAATTCTGAAATACTTTTGAAGGCTTCACTATTAATAAAAGCCCTAATACCTTTGTTCTATTCAGGCAAATAATAGGTCTCATCTTCCTGTCCCACTGAAACGACCGAGGTCAGTCAGCAACATGAGCACTGCATCCTCCAGCCAAGATATTCCTTCTGATGATCAAGACAATGATCGGTTGAGGGCAGTATTGAAAGATAATGAACAGTCACAGAGTAAGTTGTATGCAGCTGAGGCAACACTTGGCAGCCAGGAAGAGAACTCAAAGCTTCATTGTATTCCTTCGCATGGTAAGTAGCTCAGCATTACTTGTAAAGAACAGTTGATCAAAACCATTATTCAGCATTTCTAAATGACGTAAATTTTGCAGGACGAACCTCTCCCACTCTTGGTTGTACAATAGTTCTGCTCATTGAATCAGAAAATTGTTCAAAAAATGCATCAAAGTGCAATATTTTCATCATGGTTACTGTTCTAGTTATTGTTAAACTGGATTTTGACCTCCCTTGATTTACGTGGTGAGCCTTCTGGATATTAAACAGACTGATTCCCACAAAGTAGCCTTGAACGGCACTGTGTCAAGGTTATTAAATAGAGAAACAAGTGTGAAATAATGGCTTCTAGGAGGCCTACACAATTCTCCAGCTCTGACGCTTGAACCTCCGTGCCACAAACAACAGCTGAGTACAGATACATCCAGGTAACAATATCATTGCTGAAAGCTCTGTAGATAACTTGATTTATAAGGTCAGCCCTTTTTTGTTTTAAGTGTGAGATTTGTTTAAAACACGAGATAAAGTTTTGTCAATTTCTTGTACTTCCTAAATTTAATACAAGAAATTTTCTGGTCAACATTGCTGATTATATGAGTGAAGTAAGAGTGGGGATTTGGAAAATCAGCTGTAAATCTGTTTCATTGGATGCTCAAAAAGTTTTGAGGATCTCTTGTAAGAATAAAACATACAATTCTCTAATTCCCACTATATTCCTTTCTTGACAAAATTGACATGATGCATGAATAACTTTATCTTTTGCCATTTCCAACGCCGTTCGTTTCTTTAAAATCGCAATTGGGACCTGAATTTCCAACCGTGGAATCCCCAAACCCCCATCTCTGTTGCGGGCATATAATACCCCATTCGATATATATGGGGGAAGGTGTAAAATTTCTTTAATAAAACCACGAATAAAAGAATCTAGCTTGCAAAGGACATTTTGCGATGCCTCTGCCAGGATCAGATGATAGTACATCCGAGGTATAAAGGCCATCAGCCCGTTGAGTATGCACTGATTAAATAAAACTGCTCTAAGTCTACGTTAGACCCACTTTGCAGCACTTGGCCCATTAGCCTTGAATGTTCTAACATTTCAAGTGCTCATCCAAGTATTTTTTAAAGATTGTGAGGTTTCCCACCTCGATTGATAGGCAGTGCATTCCGGATTTCCACTACCCTCTGCATGAAAAAAGCTTTTCTCAAATTCCCTTTAAACCTCCTGCCTTTCACCATTTAAAATTAGGCTCCCTTGTTACTGACACTGCGACAAAGAAGTTCAGCTGGTTTCTATCCACCCTATGCCCCTCATAATCATACACCCAGTCAGGTCCCCTCTCACTCATCTCTACTCTTAAAGGAAACAACCTCAGCTTATCCAGCCTCTCTTCAAATCTAAACTGCTCCATCCGAGGCAACAGTCCAGGTGAATTTCTTCTGCATCCTCTCCAGTGCAATCACATCCTTCTTATAGTGTGATGTTCAGAACTCCAGCTGTGACCTAACCAAAGTCCTGTACAGGACTGATAAAAGCAAATGCTTCATGTGCCTTCTTAACTACCCCATTAGCCTGTCCTGCCAAGCGCCCCAAGATCCTTCTGTTTTTCTGAACTTCCTAGTGTCCTGCCATTCATTGAGTACTTCCTTGTCTTGTTACTACTTTCAGAGCGCATCGCCTCACACTTACCAAGGTTCACTTCCACCTGCCGCTAATCTGCCCTTCTGACCGATCCATCTATCTCCTCGACGTAACCTAAGGCTTTCTTCCTCACTGTCAACCATGCAATCAGTCTTTGTTATCTCTAGTTTAATTATCATCACCCCCTACATTTTCTTCTTTGTTGTATAAGGAACCCAGCATTGATCCCTGTAAAACACCGTTGACACCAGTCTCCATTCACACAAATCACCTTCTATCACCATCTTCTGTCTCCTACCACTAAGCCAGTTTTGGATCCAACTTGTCAATTTACCCTGAATCTCATGAGATTTTTACCTCCCTTATCATTCCCACTTGTGAGACTTTGTCAAAGGCTTTTCTGAAATCCATATAAACTACTCTAACTGCATCACCCTTGTCTGCACACCTGGTCACCTTCTCAAAGTATTTTGATCAGATTTGTTAGGCTTGACCTCTTTCTGAAAAAGCCAACTATCCGTGATCAAACCTTACCTCTCCAAGTGGATACTAATTCTCTCCTTCAGAATTTTCTCCAATAATTGCCCTGCCACTGATTTTGATTTTCACTGGTCTGTAATTCCATGGTTTATCTCTCCCATCCTTCTTGAAAAGTGGAACCATATTACCTGTTCTTCAGTCCTCTGGCACCTCCCCTGTATAATTAAAGAGGAATTAAAAAAGTGGGTCAGAACCCACATAATTTCCTCCCTCGTCTCCTACAGCATCCTGGGATACAACTCATCTGGACCTGAAGATTTGTCCACTTTTAAGCCTGCCAAAACCTCCAGTATCTCCTCACTCCCGATGTCAAACTGCTGACAAACCTCTCAGTCCCTCTTCCTTAATTCTGTACCTTTGTCTTCATTTTGGAGAAGGAAGATGATGTGAAGTAGTCGTACTTGCCTTACACCCTACCAATGTCCTCCAGCTCAACGCATAGATTGCCTCCTTGGTCCCTAATGGGCCAACTGTTCCTTTGGTTATTCTCTTCTCCGTGATATACGATATCTTGAGATTTTCCCTAAACTTAGCCACCAGTTTTTATTCGTGCCCCTTTTTTGCTTTCCTAATTGCTTTCTTAAGCTCCCTCCTGTCCTTTCTATACTCCCCTAGGGCCTCTATTGATTTGCTGCCTTTGTGCCTGTTAAAAGCCTCTTTTTTCCTTCTTATCCAGTCCTGAATATTCCAAGACATCCAGAGTTCCCTGGACTTGTTGCTCCTATATTTCACTCTAAAGAGAACATTTTGGGCTTGATTTCTTGCCAGTTCCATTTTGAACACCCTACTGTTCTGCTGTAGATTTACCCAGAAGTAAGTGTTCCCAGCTTCCTAAAATCTGCCCTCCCACAATCCAAAACCCCTTTTTTATTTTGCAAACTATCTTTTTCCTTTTCCGTAATGAACTTAAAATCTACGGTGTTGTGTTCGCTATCATTAGAATGCTGTCTCACTGCCGCTTTGAACACCTGTCCAGCTTTGTTCCTCAGAATTGGTCCAACAAGGGACAGTGCAGTGCTGGACCCTTCAATATGTTAATTCATAAAAGCTCTCCTAAATAAATTTCAAGAAATCTGCCCCTTCTGAACACTTTTACACTATGACTATCCCAATTGATGTTGGTGAAGTTAAAATCCCCCAATATAATTCCCTATTATTGTCGTCTTCACCTAAGTGAATTGTCTGTGTATCTGCTTTTCTATTGCTCATTGTTTGTTTGGGGATCTATAATACACATCCAGTAGTGTGTCTGCCTTCTTTTTATTCTTAAGCTATACCCACAGCATTCTAGCCAAAAAAGTAGGCAATTGATTCTCATTTAAGGATCTCATCCTGCTGCTGTACTTAACCAACAATGGGTGCGGCAGTCACCACACAGGAAGTCCAACAAGCTAACTATAGGGTGGCTTCTGGGATCCTTTGTTCAAAGTGCTTAAACAAGTGACTTGGTTCCTGGAAGGAGCATTACCCATACCCTTGCCATCACTCAATTGAGGCCTGGGTCCCTCTGCAATCTTTTATTGCTTTCCTTGGCTTTAACTGTTGCTGCCAATCCTTGCAAAGGCCATCCTCTGCATCTAACTAGCTGGCAGTTCTTGGGCATGGCATTTTTTGCTATTGAGGTTCCTTGCTTCAAGGGAAGGCCCATTGCTGGCCAGTTAGTGCTGGAGAGTCGCATTGCCAATGGAGGCAGTGTGGGCTTCTTGCCAACTCTCCAATTTGTTGTCAAGACCTCTGTCACCTGCAATAAATACAATTCAAACTTTCATGATTCTCAGCAGAGGTATGAAAAAAATTCTCAAGCTCTTGACTGACAAAGGTAGTTTGAATTTAAATGGGACCTGCTGTTAAGAATATCTGAAGGATTATCATTAAATTTGTGCTTTTTGTTATTTGTTACATATTTTGGCTGCTAGTTGCTGGGTGTATAATTTTGGAAATGCGATTTCTACTATACTTACAGTAGTCTCTAAGATGAAAAGGGAATTTAGGGCAGGTCGGATTGCATTGTATTGGACTGCTTTTACTTCCCCTTTCCACAAAGCACTATCACAGACAAAGATATCAACCTTAGAATAAAATAAATCCCTCTTATTTCCTCAAGACACACTGAGCAGTGAAAACACTTGGGTGGTGGGACTTGAAATGTGTTAGCATGAAAGATTAGTGTATGTATATTTGTTGCTTCAAGTTTTCTTTTTTGTTTTTAAGGCTTGCTTCTGGAATTTTGAGCTTGCAATTGATTCTCGCAGTTTTGCTTCAGCCTTCTGTGTTACAAACTTCGCTCTTGTCCTTATTTTTTCTGTAGTTGAATCATCTTTGAAACAAGATGATAAAGAGGTCCAAGTGGATGTTCAGGACCTTGGTTATGAAACCTGTGGAAAAAGTGAAAATGATGCGGACAGGGATGAGAGCAGTAGCCCAGGTAGATGGCATGAGCATAGAAATCCTAACTAATGCTCAGGAAGCATGAGGGAAAGGACTACCTTTTATTTTCTGTAGAACACAGCATTAACTTTATTTTCTCATTTCATGCTAAAATGTGCTTATTGATTATTTTCAGCTCAGTAGTTTAAGTCCCAAATTTGAGAAATAATGGCACGCAACTGACTACGTGCCATCCAAGTAGCTGAGCTAGGTTATTAATGCTTGAACTGACTCAGTGCAACTTTTGGGTGAACTAAAGCAATATATTTTCAGCCACACCTTAGATGCATTATCATGCAACAAATGCTCTGATCTGAAAGTAATAAATTGGCACAGCAACCTTCTGTCTTAAATTTCTGCATGTTTATTCTGTTGCCCTTCAACAGTGCTTTTTGTTGTCTTATCTTCCTTTATTTCAAATTATTGGGATTAATGATGGCTTTTTGCATGGAGAAGAGATGGATATCACTTCTCTTAATTCATATCATTCAAGATCCACAAATAAGACTAAACAGCTGGAATTAATAATAGTTGTACTTTTAATATTTGTATTTTAATCCCACAGACACAATCAGTCATTTACCAAGCCATCACTATGGTGACTCAACCGTTCCCTCCCTACTTAAATTAAATCGTCGTTTCTTTTCCATGGAAAATCTTGACACAAATTCATCAACTTCGTACCCAAGTTCACCAAGTTTAATTTCACCCAAAATTAGCTTGAAGAACCTTGATGTGTTTGATGACTATGGACAGACAGATGATGTGAATGAACTCAAACTTCAAATTGGTGAGCTAAAGGAACAAATTGAGAAGTATCAGAAAGTCATTCGTCATTTGCAGACTTTTATGCGCAAAAATTCCCTATCCAGTGATCAACTGACTGTCTCTGACCATAGCCACCAAGCTACGACGCGAGGTTCATATGAAGGACACTCTTTGGATTCTATTCAAAAAGATGATGATCGTAACCATTGTCAAAGAAGACATTCTGTACAGTCCTCAGACCTATCTGTTCAAACCACCCAGAAGATTTCAAATTGTCCATCAAGATCACCAAGTATGGATTTTGGAAGCCAGAGTGACAGAGGTGACTGGTTGGTATCAAACTATTGCCAGGATGGACAGCAGGTGCAAAAGTTAAAGGAACAAATGGAACAACTGGAAGATCAGTTGCAGAAAGAGAAGTCGAAGAATGAGGAGCTTCAGGATCAGCTGCATCATCTTCAAACTAAGTTGACAGCACCTTCACCATCTCAAAAGTAAATCGTTTTAATACATTGCAAACAGTATTAGTTCCATATGGATTTAGATTTTATAGTATGAAATTTCAGAACATGTAGCAGTAAATTTAATTTCTCTATGGCAGGTTGTTAATGAATTCGTTAAGTGTGCTAATTTCTGACAGGCAGTAGAATCAAATGACCATGAAAGCTGTCAGATTGTTTTATACACTGCCATCCTTCCCTGCTCTGTTCTTGTATATGACTGCATTCCCACAATCCATGGTTGATTCTTAATACCCTCTGAAATAACCTAGCAATCACTTAGTTATAGAACTAATCTATTTTGAAAGAAGCATGATGTTTCTTTTCTAAGTAGCAAGGGATAAGAAATAAATGGGATCTTGCCAGTGTTGCCCAGTTCCAAAAACAAATATAAATTGCATGCTCATATATCTTGTTAATGTTGGTAAAATATATTTACTTGGAAATGTTGGCAAGAAGATTTGAATTCGTCTGTGTCTTTTTATGTTTGACAATTTAAAACTTTTTTTCCTAGTGCAGACAAATACAGTAAATCAAAAAAAACTAAATAAAACCATTTAATGAACTATACATCTTATCTATTTCTCAACAATGTGTGCAAAGTTAGAAGAACATTGAGCAATTAACATGGGATTAAAATGTTGAGGTTGGTTGGCTCGCCAACCTGGTTTCTTGTTTTGCAGACGTTTCGTTACCCTGCTGGGTAACATCATCAGTGCAGCCTCCGATGAAGCGTCGGTGTGTTTTCCCGCCTGGTTTTTAAACTCTGGAGTCCGTTGAGCTGGATTGCCTCACTTCCGGTTTTCCTTCATAGTGGAGTGTATATTGGGTCGAGTTCAATGTGTTTATTAATAGCATGCTTCGTGGAGTACCAGGCTTCTAGGAATTCTCGTGCCTGTCTCTGCCTAGCTTGTCCCAGGATTTTGGTGTTATCCCAGTCGAATTGGTGGTTCTCCTTGTCCATGTGGATTGAGACGAGTGAGTATTGGTCGTGTCTTTTTGTAGCTAGTTGGTGTTCATGTACCCTTGTTGTTAGTTTCCTTCCTGTTTGTCCAATGTAGTGTTTCTCAGTCACTGCAGGGGATCTTGTAGATGACGTTGGTCCTGTCCATGGCGGGGAGTGGGTCTTTAGTTCCGGTGAGTAGTTGTTATAGGGTAGACGTGGGCTTGTGTGCCACCCTGATGCCCAGCTGTCATAGGAGTCTTGTGGTGAGCTCTGATGTGTTCCTGATGTAGGGTTGTGTGATGAGTGTGTCGGGGTGTGTAGTATCTTCCTGATGTTGTTCGTGTAGGCATCTTCTGACCCAGTTTTTTGGATATCCATTATCCTTGAAAACCTGGAAGAGGTATTCTTCTTCCTCTTGGCGTAGTTCCGTGTTGCTGCAGTGCGTTGTTGCCCGTTTGAATAGTGTTCGCACACTGCTTCGTTTGTGTGTGCTGGGATGGTTGGAGTTCAGTACCTGGTCTGTGTGTGTGGCTTTTCTGTGTATTTTCGTTTGCAGTTCCCCATTTGTCTTGCACTCTACCATGACGTCCAGGACACGACCAATACTCCCTCATCTCAATCCACGTGAACAAGGAGAACCACCATTTCGACTGGGACAACACCAAAATCCTGGGACAAGCTAGGCAGAGACAGGCGCGAGAATTCCTAGAAGCCTGGTACTCCACGAAGCATGCTATTAATAAACACATTGAACTCGACCCCATATACACTCCACTATGAAGGAAAACCGGAAGTGAGGCAATCCAGCTCAACGGACTCCAGAGTTTAAAAACCAGGCGGGAAAACACACCGACGCTTCATCGGAGGCTGCACTGATGATGTTACGGGTAACGAAACATCTGCGAAACAAGAAACCAGCTCGGTGAGTCAACCAACCTCAACACCCACACCCGAGCTACAAATCTACTCCAAAACCTTAATGGGATTAAAATATAGGGCCTAGTATTTTCCAAGGTACAAATTTCAACCAGTGGGGTTAGAAATTATAGTCACGGAAACAGTGTGGTTTCCAGAATCTATTAACTTCAGGGCATCATGTTTTTTTTTTGCAGGTTTGCTGTCAGTCTGAATTTAATGAAGACTGAGGTCGTAAGTGAAAGTATCAGGGATAGGATGGGATGAGGTGTTCAGACCTATCATAGGGTTGGTGGGTTGCAGGGTTAGCTTGTTCAGCCTGGAGGAAACATTCCTGCTCCTCTTGGATTATAATCATTAATGTAAAATCCAGTTTCCTTAGCATTATATCCTTCTCGCCTCCTTTTCCCGGGTTTCCTAGAAATCTAGCCAATGCGAGTTTAAAATATAGAAATCCTTCTGAAACAATGACATGTGGCCTCTTTTTCTTCAAAAGTTTCAACAGCTCAACAATCTCATGACAGCACATTGGATATCTGTCTGACTTCCATTCAAGCCAGAAGCTTACTGTTTGAAGCAGGTTCTGGTTGGATTTGACAGTTCTAAGACATTTCCAACCAAGTCCACTTGTTATTGGGAATTAAAATTACACCCTTAGGCTTGACATTCAGAGTGACCTTTGAAATTAAAAGGATGAACAGACTTCATCTTCAAAACAGAACACTGTTTAGCATTGCAGCAGAAATAGAAACCCAAGACATTCAGTGGTCAGGCAGCATCCGTACATCATATATTCCAGTTGTCACATTTTGTTTCCAATCTCCAGCATTTTTGCGGTGTTTACATTTTGTTCAATGGAGATGCAGCTTAGCATGTTGCAGACAAGTCTCTAGTGAAGTCAATATCCTAACCTACCAGGAAATATTCTTTATGAGGACTGTTCATTTCTCAGAATTATACAATTTATGCGTGGTTAAATTAAGTTCTGTTAGAAATCAATGCTCCTAAACATGCAGTTAGAATCTAGAGAGCTAAATGAATCATTTTGTTCTATTTTATTTAGGTATGATTCACTGGTGCAGTCACAGGCAAGGGAACTCTCCCATCTTCGACAGCAAATTAAAGAAAGCTTTCATATTTGCACTTTGCACCACCAAACTGTTGTGGATCTTACCAAGGGCTTTGAGGAGCTGCTGCAAGCCAGTGATGTTGATTATTATGTTGGAGAAGCGTTTCGTGACCTGCTAAACCAGAGTTTACGTCTGGTGGAAACACTAGAGAACAAGTTTGATTGTGGTAGGTGAACAGGAAAAGTTGCTTGGTTTAAATTCCTAGTTTGAAAGGAACATTTATTTGACTGTATATTCATCTCCTTACATATTTAATATTTGAATATTGCACATGATTTTGTCCACCATCAGGGCTTCCTAATCTCTAACTTTATGTCATGCTTCCCTGGCAATAATTTCCATTCTGTTTTTTTTTGTTGCCTGTTATAATGTAGGTGCAGACCCTCACCACTAGATAACTATGTGAACTATGACAATGGGAAGAATTTGATAACACCTCCCAGTTGGTCTTCACCTGCTCACGCCAATGTGCTAATGAGTTGCATAACCAGGAAATTTGGAGGGTTTTACACCCAAGTTGTGGGAGTCAGGGGGGTCAATGGATCAAATTTGGAAAGATGTGCTAAATTAAAGTGTAGAACCAAGGCAAAAGGAAACAGTATTAGTATGGAAAATAGTAAATAGATCCTGACAGGAGGGATAGAGAGTAAACCAACAGATAAGGCTAGAGGTCACAAAAATACTAAAAGAATAAAACTTAAGGCTCTATATGCAGCTTCTTAAACACAACAGATGAACTGAAGGCTCAAATAAAAATTTAAGAATTATGATCTGATAGCTGTCATAGTGACATGGCTGCTATACCACACCTGGTATTGTACAATGCAGTAACACTATTTAATGACCTGTTTTTGAAGGTGCCCTAGATAGCAGAAATCCTAATATGAATGTATTTTACATACAGTTTGAGGCAAAGAAAAATGTGTCCAGAACCAGTATGTAAAACTTTAAGGGTAATTCTAATGGTATGAAAGCAGGGTGAGCTGCACTGAACTGACAAATAAGTGATACTTCTATCGAGGTACAGTTATGTGGATATTTCAGAATACATTGGTTAGATACAATTCAGGGAGAAAGAAAAATTCCCAAAGAGGATCCACCATTTATGGAAATTGGTATCAAAGTTAAAGAAAAACCTTATCATTATACAAAGATGGATGGGTGGCAATCAGAAGATTGGACCGAATATGAAACAGCTAGTTCATGACTCATAAAAGGTTAGTATGCTGATGTAGCAAGTAATGTGCAAAGGTAAAAGAATGCGCTAATCTATTATGAGGGGATTTGAAAACAAAAATATTGAAGCTATGCTTCAGTTGTATAGGACATTGGTGAGACCACATCTGGAATACTGTGTACAATATTTGTTTTCTTATTTAAGGAAGGATGTAGTTGAGTTCAGAGCAGTTTACTAATGGTTTACAAGATAATATTTAGAGTGTGGGTTGTTGTCTAATGAGGAATGGTTAGTTGGGCTAGGTTCGTATCCACTGGAGTTTTAAAGAGTAAGAGGAACTTGATTGAAACATACACAGTACTTGGTGGGTCTTGATGGGGTGAATGTGGAAAGGATGTTTTCGCTTGTGAGAGAATGAAAAACTGTGGGTCTTTTTTTTTATAACAAAGGGGTCAGTTTATAGTATAGGGCCTGAAGTTTCAATTCAAAATTGTGCTTTTGGGTAACTGATGTAAAAAAAAAGTGGTAGAAATTTTGAATCCAATCCGATATGAGTTTCCATAATAATTTTCACTAATTTTGAGGATATCAAGCTAGAAGCTGACACTGCCCACAAATTGGGTCAAACCTCTAGATGAAATTTAATCTCCATTCAGTGTTTCACTGAATATGATACTTGATTGTAGTCCTTACAGGAGGCTAAAAATGTAGGCTGGATGCTTGAGACACAAGAACATTATTTTGAAAGATTTTAAGAAAAATTGCCTTTAAAACTTAAGAGCTGATCACTCCACTTCAGTCTAACTCAAAAATAATTTTTGTACATTTTTAAATTATTGTCAGCACTTTGACTCCGGGTATAGTGATTAATAATCCTCATATTTGGCAATAAACACATTTTCAGCTGTATTAATCAAACCTTTACAACTTTTTCTCTTTATTACATCAAGGAGTAAATGTTAGGGCTGTTTAATTACATTTTTAAAAATGCTGGCAAATTTGCCTGGCTTATAGAAGTTTTTGTGTAGAACTTAAAAGGGTTTGGTTGGACAGTGCTTGCGATATGAGTACAGTCTGAGCTAGAATTGCCACCTGTAGCAATTTGCCTGCAGAACTTGACAAATGTTTTCAATTGTTAAATGAATTAAGACCTTATAGTGAACTAGCTCATTAGCGACTTGCAAAGGTGTTAAGCTCCTAAGAGAATGAAATTAGATTCTGTTTGAACTGACGGTAGTACTTGAGGCTACTTCAAACTGAGCCAGAATGCATGTGGGAGAGGCTGCTAGAAATAGCCTGTATTGTTCCAAAAAATTTCAGAGAAACGTGCAGTGAGCTAGTCAATTTCTGAAGAATGAAGAAGTTGTGTGTATTGCAATGGGGAGTTTTCTTACAATAAATAGTACTTCCTTTGTTGTGAATCAAATAATGTAATAACTAAAGATTTCCTGATGCAAGAATTGTTAAAACCAGAACAAAAACATCTTCAACATAAGTCAAAAGTATTAAATCTATAAATTATTTTGAACCAGATATGCCTCACTAACGTTAATATAATGGACATTTCTTAAATGAGTTCTATTTGTTATTGAGAAGAACAGAGTTAACCTTTTAAGTCCTGTGACCCTTCGTCAAAACCTGCCAGATCTGCTGAGTTTCTGCAACATTTTCTGTTCTCATTTCCAATATCCAAGGTTCTTTGTTTTATCTTATTTGCTAATGGCTGCTATAAGAAATTTGTACTGGGCACAAAATTATTTTTAAATTTTAATATTTAACTTTGCACTGAAATAATCCATACTTCTTGGCCATTTGTCTATTGCAGGTGATATATCTTCTGTTGGTGGAGACCACGCACTCCTTGATTTCTCTCAAAGGTAATGGCAAAATGTAGATTCAGAGCTTTTGCAAGCCATGATTTATGTTCTTTGTTTCAATTTACCTGATCCCAATTTGACGTGTCATTATGCTATTAAATTGAGGTTAATCTAATTCACTAGTCCTTGTTTAAAAAAAATTTAGATGTACCGATCATTGTTCTGTTATTTATTTTGAGACTTTGAAGAAATAAATGTGACAAATCTTTCCAATAATCTGAAATTTCATATTAATTATATTTTTCATGGATGTAGGAATATGCCAGAGGTAGATTTAATGTAATAATACATGGCTATTGTTATTTGTTCATGGGATGTGGGTGTCACTGGCTAGGCCGCATGTGTTGCCCATCCTTAATATCTCTGGCATAGGCAATGGTGAGCTAAATTCTTGAATCCCTGCAGTCCATTTAATGGAGGGACACTGCAATGCTGTTAGGGAGGGAGTTTCAGGATTTTGACCCAGTGGCAGCAAAGGAATGGCATTATAGTTATAAAACACCAATGGTATGCTGCTTGAAGGGGACCCTGCAGCTGGTGGTGTTCCCTTGCATATGAAGCCCTTGTACTCCTCATTCATATATGTTGAGGGTTTGGAAGCTGTTGTTGGATGATCCTTAATGAGTTGCTGCAGTGCATCTTGCAGATGGCACACACTTCTGCCACTGTGCATTGGTGGTGAAAGTTGAATGGGGTGAGGTGCTAATCAGTCGGGTTGCTTTGTCTTGGTTGTTGTTGAGCTTCTTGACTTTTGTTGTAGCTGCACTTACCAGGCAAGTAGACCATATTCCATCTCACTGCTGACTTATGCCTTGTGGCATAAGATGGTGGAAGCATTGAGGAGACAGACAGAAGGTGAATTACCCACCTAAAAATTCCTAGCCTCTGATCTGTTTTTGTAGCCAGCACTTAACTGACTAGTTCAGTTCAGTTTCCGGTCAGTGATAACCTCACAGGATGTAGATAGTGGGGAATTCAGTGATGATGATGCCATTGGACATCAAGGGGCATTGGTTAGATTCTTTCTTGATGGAGATGTTCATTGTGTGGTATTCTGTGGCATGAATGTTACTTGCTTTTGCAATATTTCTGAAGTATTATGGTTTAGCACTTTATTTATTTTTTCTACGTAAGCAAATTCTACTTATAAAGGAGGATGCGGTGCCAAAACATTTCATTTTTGACATTAAGATGTTTTGTGAGCCATTTAGTGTTTTCAGTTTAAAAGTGAGCCTATTGTATTTACGCTGCTTTTCTGGGCAAATGGGGCCATACACTCGGTGCAAGCTGCCACCTCTGGCAAAACTACAAAACCACAGGGATAATCACACTTTTTGGATGCTGCAGAGTTATTTACACAAATTCACTAATGCCAGCATTTTAACCAATTTGATTCAAAAGAATGAAATGCAAGAAATCAATTTCATAGCCAGCAGTTTGTTAATTCAATCTATCATCTTACTATATCTTAATAGTAAACTTCCCTCATGATGGAGAGGACAGTTGCTATGGCCTTCAAAAAATTTGGACATTCATTACAAAAGTATTGATCCTTTTTGAATTGCTTTGTAAAATCAATTGATGGTTAAACTAACTGTTGCATTGTATTTGTTTTATAAAATGTTTGTAATTTTAGGTGATGTACAACATTTCTTGAGCATATTAAATACATGGTCAATATCTTAAAGTAATCAGCTTAATGATTAATTCATTATTTAACTGTGTGATGGACAAGTTTTTCTCCAAGAATTTTGTTACATTATTTCTATGATAGTGATTAGAGCTAATTTGAAATGCATCAATTTGTAAACCCCAATATAGTGTTTATATATTTATATATGTAGCAGTCACTTTAAAATTAAATGTCAGTCTCTTGATAGTAACAGCTTTGTTATAAAAGGAAAATGGAGCCAAAAGAATTCCATGCTTATACTATAAATTTCTCCACAAATGAAATCCGTACATTGGATATCCAGCTGATTATGGCTGTTCTCTCTCATCTATAAACTGTGGAAATGGATTAGAACCTAAGTATATATGAGGTGTTTATTAAGAGAAACCCAAATGGCAGATACCGTTCTCTTAGAACTTCTTGCCAAATTTTCATGAGTTTAAATTGAACAAATATTCACCATTAGTGGAGAAAGTCCAATGATGGCAACAATTACTTTCAAAGCCATCATGCCACTTTCCTGTGAATGTTTTCCCTACTTGCAAGATATAGTATTGCAGGATGCTGTGATCCCAGTATGACCCCTCAGCTCACTAAAGCCAAGTGGCGTAAAACAAACCTCTCCCCCAGCCCCCGCATACCACACCTAGTAGTTACCTCATACAGCTTTTATTCAACTTCAGTCTGCTAGCCTTTTATAAAGCTTTGGTGGGGTAGATGATGGCCTAGTGGTATTATCGCTAGATGATTCATCCAGAGACCAAGGTAATGTTTTGGGGACCTGTATTTGGATCCCACCATGGCAGATGATTGAATTCAAATTCTATAATAATCTGGAAGTAAGGATCTAATGATGACCATGGAACCATTGCCGATTGTTAGGAAAAACCCATCTTGGTTTGCTAACGTCCTTTAGGGAAAGAAAATTGTCATCCTTACTTGGTCTGGCCAAGATGTAACTCAGGACAGACAGCAATATGGCTGATTCTTAACTGCTGGCTGGGCAATTTGGGATGGGTAGTAAATGCTGGCCGAGCCATTGGTGCCCACATCCCATGAATGATTTTTTAAAAAACACATTTATTTAAAATCTTTTTAATGTGTTAAGGCTATTTCCATTCATAGCCTTGTACTTTTAAAAATTAACTGCCATGGAGGCATTGGCATTGGTGCAGAGCTAAGTGAGTGCATCCTCTTGCCCTTGCCTCGTGAGTCAGAATTTTGTGGTACTTGAGGTTTACACTTCAGTGCAGTATTGAGAAAATACATTACCTAAAGTGTTGTCTTTTGACAAGACATTAAACAATTGAGATGCACATGGAAGAATCCAAAAATACGTTTAGAAAAGAGAGGAATCTCCTCCCAGTGCTGTGGGTAACACTTATCTTTCAATGTCACCCAAAAAAGATTAATTAATTAATTGATTAATTAGTTTGTTAGTTATCATGTTGCTGCCAAATGACAAAAAGTGCATTGCTGGAGGTAATCAAGATAAGTAAGTTTCTGCAGTTTATACTTTTTAATTAAACAACCTGTGGTATATTAGACAGATTTGCATTGTGATATTTCATTCATGAGATTTGCACTGTTTCCCCTTCTGTAGTGCTTCACATGAAGGGCAAAAATGAATTCCAGGGCCAAATAGAATGTAGGAGTACCTCTAAAATGTAAGAGATCATTTGCATCACAGTCAGTATGAGTGGCTGAGGCAGGTGCTGTTCTAGCAACTTTAATTAAATTGAATAATCTGATGAGGCTAAGAACTGCACACTAATCCTAATGCATTTATTAATCTCATGCCACTGTTCTTAAGATAACAGATCCTCCGAATGCTGAATAGAAGAGTTCTTAAAGCTATAGAAATCAGTCCGTATGCTCCATTCCTTGGTGCACTGAAGAATGTATGAGCGGTTTGTCTGAGAAATATTGATAAAAGTGGCACAGTAACCTTATTATGGGAAGATGGAAGTCAGTTAATATGTGGATGAGCTGCTTTTTGTATCCTCATTTTTTGATAGTCACTGGTGTTACTAAGGTTACTCTGTCAAAAATTCAGTTTGTCTACTTTGTGTAGGCTAAAACCAAGATGGACTAGTATTTTTTTTGGATGGGGGAAGAGAGAGTTGTCGTATAATGTTTTTACGTGCTTTAAGCAACTGCAAGAATAGTGCATGATTTCTTTCTAGGCTTCAATGCCTGTGCAAATGCCTTAGACTTGCCTAGAACAGGTTTATGGCTTCTGGCATGCACTTAATGTAGACAAGCATGCTATCCAAATTTAGTCCCATCTACCGAGAGTCTCTTTTCTCCTTCTCTTTGGCTAGTCCTCGCAATCTACAATATGAAGTTCTCTACCTTCGAAAGCAGCTAGAAAGTGAGCGCAAACAGTTGCACAAGCAGCTGAATGACCTTCTACATGAGAATCAGGTGTTGTCACAGGCAACAAAAGATCAACTTGATCAGTAAGTTTATACTCTACGTTAATGTGGGCAATGATATGCAATGATAGTAGTTCACTATTGGAGCAGTTCATTCAGACAAAAATATACTTGTTACAAAGTTACTGCTGTATGATCTGCTTGAAGGAACGTTCTGGAAATATAGATGTGGTAGTTTTTGAACTTTTAGTTAAACTCTGGTGTGTACACTGCCAATGTGTTCGTGCAGATTAAAGCCTTAGTTGTCTGTGTGGTTCAGCCACTTGCTAATTAACTATTAAGGAAATCCTGAGTTTTGCATTCCAAGCACAGAAGTAAGAGTTGTAATCCAAATTACAATTGTCATTTGAACTCCAGTGTCATTCATGCAAATTGACTTGAAATTGCATAGCTGAAACTGAGGATATAGTACAACAAGATTACACTTTGGCACTAAAAGCCTGGAGACAGATCAGTGTTGCAGGAGGCTGTTTCTGGGCTATGTCTGTTTTGTTTGGTTTACTGAAGAACGTGCTGTAGTGGAATTAGCGTAGAGCCTTCACTTTTTCTTATTTGTTAGAGGTGATTATGAGGGGGTTTCTGTTCCAAACTGATGACTCCCATGAGCTTAAGTTAATGCAAACCAGCTGTAGCTTGGAGGCATGTTCTTTGTGGTCTTAACACAACATAGGAATTCTGCTGTACAATTGCCTAAATTTTTTACATGGTTTTTTTAAAATGTAAATAAGATCCTGGCAATGTCTTGTGTAACATTTGGTAATGATCAGGAGGGTGTTTTGGAGGCTCATGTCAAGATAAAATTGAAGTGCTGCAGTCTTTTAATTTGTTGTTCACTGAACATATTTTCTTTGTTTGTTGAGCTCCGTGTATTGAAAGGAAATGTTTAAATCTAAGTTACAGAAAGGTTGATTTTATATGCAAAGCATTTAAGCTGATCCTTTTTTTTCTGTAGGCTGTCAAAAGAGGTGCAAGAAAAGAACAAAGTTATTTATTGCCTACAGCAACAGTTAAAACATCAATCATGTGTGCCATGCACCAGCCAAGTCTCTTCAGACTCTGAGATATCTGACAGAAATTCTGTTAGTTCACATGAAAGTCGATCAACCACATCTGAACCACCAATCCCTGCTGAAAATAAAAGAAAGTACCATAATGGTAGACAGCGAAGCTTTCAAAGGAGACTCTCATATAAGTCACCAGGTCAGTTGCATTCTTGCTGAGAAATGTGAGATTTTAAAGTTTGAGCAAAAAATTCATTAATGATTAACATTGCGTAGAAATCTTACAACATTTCTTGAAAGATTTTTTTTGCAAAATTTACTTTTGCAAAATTTACTTTTCTGCAGCACATTTCATGGCTTCCGTACATCCTGGAGTACTTCACAGCTATTCAAAGTAATTTTAAAGTTGGTCATTTAGCAAAAGTAGTTTTTGCTGGTTTGCATGTAGCAGCAATAAAAGTAATCACTTTGTCACTATAACAATAATTGACACCATCTGAAGACTACTTTTCCTCTTCTGATAATGAATTGGAATAGTCAATAGCTCTATTTTGTTTCTTTAAACCAACATTTTGCAACTATCCATCTCATCAGCTTGTTTGTAAATGAACCTTTTTGTTATTAAAGTAATAGCTGTTCCTTTACCTATCCTTTACTACCACTGCCAATGCTTCCAGGTTTCAAAATTTTCTACTTTCTGAAGTTCTGTTAATTTTGTATTGCACCCTTTATATGTTCTGATTGCCGTGTTACCCTTGAACTTTGTGTGTACAATTATTTGTGGGTTTTGTTTTGAGAATTTGAAGTAGACTGCTTGGCATTGTAGTTTGTGATTTCTTCAATGAACAACGGTATTGAGTGTAATTCAGTGTATGAAATTGGAAAATCAACCTGGCATCCTGTACCTGCACCCTTTTCTGTTTTATCTCTCGTGCTGTCGCTGCCTCTGTCGCTCTCGCTGTCTCTGTCTGTCTTTGTCTCTGTTGCTGTTTTGCTCGCGCTGTCTCTCTCGCTTGGGCTGTCTCTCTTGCTTGGGCTGCGTCTTCCCTTGCCATGGTTGCCTTGCATTTCCCTCATTGTGGGAATGTAAATTGAGTGCAGCCCATTGTTCTGTTAGAGTTTTGTCTATTTTTAAATTAGAATTAACTTTAGTTTTAATTCTGATTTTACCTGGGGTAGATCTGTGCTCTCTGTACTGAAATTGGCCCACCTGCCGTTATGTATTATACCTTGCCTGTTTCCATAGCTAACCGAAACTTCATGACACAATGATCACTGTTCCCAAGATATTCCCCTGTTGGCACTTCCCCTGCTTTCACAGAACCAGATCCAGCAATGCTTCCTTCCTTATGGCACTAGAGGGATGCTGATCAAAAGATTTTCTGAACACACTTCTGCAACTCTTTTTTTTCCTCTCTCTTTACTATTCCAGTCTATATTACGAGAATAAAAAATTCCCTCCATTACTGTCTTGTAAATACCCTATAGGTCTTACATCTATCTAATTTCCATGCAAGTTTGTTCCTCTATATCTTTCCTAATAGTCAAAGAGGTATTTTTTTAATAGAAAATACTGCTATCCTTTGACATTATTGAAGTAGCTATAATGCATTATTCTGAAAGCTTTCAGTAGACTTGCAAACAAGTGCTGAAAGTTCAGCGGGGGTTGTGTTACTCATCCAGGTTTAAAAAGCTACATAATTTATTGTCATTTAATCAGTGATGCTGTTCATGTGGAAATAAACGGCAGTATGATTGAAATTCTTTGATAATGACACACAAGCAAATTCAGAAGAACTCCAATATTTGTAGTTGCACTGTAGTTTACTGTAGTTTAAATATGCAAAGTCCCCTTAAATTAAAGCAACTTCCAAAATGCAAAGTCAGACACAGATATGTGTAATGTAATCATGGTCAGAAAATGAATTGTGAAGAGGTCAAACCAATTAGACTTGTGCATGGCAGTGTCATACGTGGGAAATGGAGGAAAATTGTTAAAACTGCTAAGCAGGAATGTAAAGGTACAGCAATTTGTACAAGTCAAAAAAGTGTTGCAGTCACTCTAAATTATGATTTTCAATTGGAAGTAGAGTTCAATGGTTCTGTAAATATTTTAACCTCAAATAAATTGGTGTTTTCGTATTAATTGCATGCATCCTCATTCAATGTGAAGCTTTGTATATCAGTTGTCATAGTTCTGTGATCCTAAGAGTTTTTAGGAACTTTGAAAACTGTAGTTTGTCCTAGTTATGTATCAAAAAAAAATTTCTTCACCATTTTTCAGAGATATTCCTTTTTCTTGTGATTTCACTGTGGTGTAATTGCTAATTCCACTGTAATCTTCTGGAGTAGATGGCAATTTGACCTTTATAAGTCCTGATAGTTGTTTCAAACTTTTTCTCAAACATAAATTTAATGTTTAATCCATCAACCTGTCCCGTGAGTGTTAGATTCAGAGTGCTGTACTGTGTGTTATTGTTCCCTGTTGCTGAAAGATAAAGCTAATATGCCGCTTTATTAGTATCAGCTAATGAAGTGTGTGGCTACAGTGTTAAACTGATGACTACTTTGCTTCTGCATTCTTTTGTTTTCATTCTGTAGACCCCATGAGCGTATTGTATATATAGATCTGTAATGTTTAAATGTAATCTAGAATATGTCAAGATTTTGTGGTAAAGTTTCTAATGTGGTACTCCACTAGATGTTCTCAATTGTCAATTTTTTTTGTCTCCTAGCAACAAATGCAAACACAAACATGCAAAGTGATCCACGGAATAAAGAAGTAAGACTGACATCTCCAGATGTTCGACCACAAATTCCAGGTTTGCATATATCTATGCTCACTCAGATGTTCACATTCTGGATACTTGGGTTTAATACTTTATATATCCCTTCTGGTCTTCCATTTCTCTCATTTCCGTCCATTAGGAAGGTTTCGTGAAGGTGATGAGACCGTTAAGTTACCATTCAAGTATTTGTTATTGGTCTGCTTTAAGTTGAATAAAGGCTTTATATTGACCTAGGGATTGGGTTACAACCTGATCCAGTCAATATATATGAAAATTATCTGCCAACTCATTCATTTTTGGTACACCTTGTATTTCCATAGTACGTGAGACTTGTTAGCAGAATCACCTATAATTGTCATTAGTTTAAATCCACATTTTAAGCCAGTGCAAATCTCTAAGGTTTTGGAGTAGATTTGTAGCTCGGATTGTGGGTGTTGAGGTTGGTTGGCTCGCCGAGCTGGTTTGTTGTTCCGCAGACGTTTCATTACCCTGCTGGGTAACGTCCTCAGTGCAGCCTCCGATGAAGCATCGGTGTGTTTTCCCGCCTGGTTTTTAAACTCTGGAGTCTGTTGAGCTGGATTGCCTCACTTCCAGTTTTTCTTCGTAGTGGAGTGTATATGGGGTCGAGTTCAATGTGTTTATTGATGGCTTTCTTCGTGGAGTACCAGGCTTCTAGGAATTCCCGTGCCTGTCTCTGCTTAGCTTGTCCCAGGATTTTGGTGTTGTCCCAGTCAAATTGGTGGTTCTCCTTATCCATATGGATTGTTAAGTGTAGAGTTGTGGCACATCGTCAAGGCAATCATTTTAACAACTCCTGACGTGAAACGTGCAATATCACACTGACTATATAATGCATGTTTTTTGATTGACTTACATGGAAACTTAAATTATGAAAGATGCACAATGATTGACCCTTCTGATATTGCCTACTTTATACTACTTCTAAATGGTAACATAACCTATCATGTGCAATACAGCTAGGTCAGTGCAAGGAACTGCAGATTAACATGCAGCGTTAGCTTGTAGATAAATTCTATAGGGGATAGATATACTTATTTACTATGTTAGAATTGAATGAGGATTGATAGAAGAGAGCTATGATACTATGAATGATTTGCCAGAATTCAATTGAAGAGCGTTTGCCAAAATAAATATCTGAACAATTCATTTATTTCACAATTATAAACTGTGTTGTTAGAGGTGGGAAAGATGGGAGAATTGAAAATGTTTATTTAAGATTTATATAAATTCTGGAACATTTGTATTAGTTCACACGGCACTCTTCTAGAAGAGCAAATTCCATTTTATTGTTGACCAATTGAAACAAACATACAGTACTTCAACATGAAGTCTCATTAGTAATAAAGAATATGGTATTTTGATATTTGCTGGTATAGAAATAAATGAATGTGTTAATTGGTCTGTTCACCATTCAGTTTTCCTATGCATGCTAGTTTAACAGCTCAAGGAAAATAAAAATCCGAATACTCCCTGTTCTGTATCCAGTAATTTTCAAACATTTATCATTTAGTAAAATGGTCAAGGAAATTCAGAATTTCAATGTTGGATGACTGTAGTAGTTGGAAACTTTCAGAGGACAGGTACAATAATGCAAGTGGTATTTTTCTGTTTTGTATATTTACATTATTCGATTATATTATTACATTTACATGACGTGATGCCACGACAAGTTGTTCAATCAGGAAACATGACATATTTCCAAACTGAAAATGTATCTTTACAATTAAGTTGGAAATGCTTCAGCAGTCTAAACTATTTCATTGAGATGGCTTTCACCAGTTAAAATAGATATTATTTTACCCATTATTTATGGATGTACATTTAGTTCTGTGTGAGTTTGTGGTGGAGGTGAGTTCATTTGAAACATTCAGGGGGAAATTGGACTATAATCTGGAAAGAATTTGCAGAGGTTTGGAGAGAAGATAGGAGGCTGGAACAAATGAATTACTCAGTCCGATTGCTAGTGTAGACCTGATGAACCAAATGGCCACCTTCTTCTGTGCACAGATTCAATGGTAGCTCTTGAAAAGGAGTTAAATTAACTCCCATTGGTGAAACCTCTGGCTTCATCTGCACGTTAATTCACCTCCGTTTCATTCATCAATTTGTTGATCATGTTTTTCTGTGTAAATTATCTTTTGAATAAATCCAATCCTAATTACATCAGAATTTTATACCTTTGAGAGTTCTTTTGAATTGTTTATTGTTCCCCACAGTGAGGTAATGAAATCAATCTCTTAACGCTGATTTTCAAATTAGTTATCAAGTAATTTTCAGTCTAATTCTCAATCCCTTCAATTGTTTTTCCACTAAAATTGAGTGATATTCTCTGTATTATAGAAAAACACAGAGAAGTAGAAGGATTCCCAGTTTCTGAAGAAGTGTTGCCTACTGGAGGCTGGCTAGTTGAGTATACCAGCACTGAAACATCCTTGCTTAATCAAAGATTGCTTGAGCTCCAGAAAGAGAACTCAGTCCTTCGTGAGCAGCTGGTGAACAAGGAAGATTTGAATGAGACACTACGGACAGAACTTAGCTTGCACCGTTCCATTTTAACAGACAATCAGAAAAATATTGATAAGCAAACTGCCCATTCACCTAAGCACAGTGATCGATCTTTAACAACAAATAAGCAAAGTGCAACTTCCCAAGAGTCGAAAGAAGATCCTTTCCTAAATGCTGCGGGTAATTTATTTTTATTCACAACTTAAAATTATTAATGACAAACATTTTAATTTATTATTTTAAAAATGACTGTTCAAATGGGCACACAGAATCCAATGACTGAGCCAGAAGTAAAGAGGCTAGGATATGTGTCTAAAAGCTAGGATGAACAGCTTGATCTTGAGAAGGTTCTTGAAGAAACTGAGAAGCAAATGTTTTAGGAAGAGAATTTAAAAAAAAAACGAACAAGGAGCTGACAGAATCAGATATGTGAATGTTCAGACCAATGATGAAGGACTGGAAACAGTTGCATAGGGTTTATCTAGGTCATGACATAATTCAAAGTTAATTTAGGGCCTTAAATTTAATCCACTGAGTTATGATGATCAAATATTGATCAGTGAAGGCTGTGATATTGGTACAGTTCAGGAATTGTGCATGGAAGTTCAAAACAAATTGGAATTGAAAGCCTAGGAACAAGGGTGCATTATTCAGCCCTTTGAACCTATTCTGCCATAGCTGATCTGCAGCCTGCAACATATAATCATATGTGCCTAGTCCTAATTTTGCTATGTGGAACCTGAAAGTTGGAGGACCATTAAAAAGCAAAGCAGTACCTCAAGCCAGGTCATCATAAACAACCTTGTGATGAAAGGGATCTGGAATCTCAACTCTTTTTCAAATCAAACAGGATAAAAAGATTGCAAGTGATCTTGTTTAGCCTGAGAGAGGGATCAAGGTGGGGCAGTGCAGGGGAAAGGGATGATGTCTCTACCAGTGGAGCATGGCTCGTGTTAAGGGCCAAATACACTAACACCAGCCAGTCTGCCAGCAGAGAGGCAAAGTACTGAAGCTGGAATTCTGAACAGAATGTATAAAAATCCTCACTTGGCCTGGCACTGCCTGTAACGAAGGATAATAAGGTTAAGGACACATGTACACACACACTCACACAGCCAGCGGTCCATCCGGACGTGTGACTGCAGCTACAACAGGCAAGGGCCCTGCAACGTACTTCACACAGACCGAGGAAGTATTTAAAAGCTTACATTTGTAATGATGCTCAGGAATGCAGAGATGGGGGAAATCCTCGTTCCAACACACCCAATCTTTAAAACGGTTGCCTGTACCAGCCTTTGTTGGTCCAGCTTGGCAAGGTAGTTTGGGACGTAAACCGGGTGACACAGAAAGACCAGAGGCGGCTACTGGTTCCTGAGGCAGGATGGGTGGAAAGCTTACTCTCCATACTCCATCTGAGCCAACTTATCTCCTTCTGTCCACCCCTAATAGTTGCCCTATGACCATCTTCCAAGGACATTTTATAGCCCCTATGCCAAATCAGTGTTTAATCAGTCCACCCATACACTTTGCCCTTCTTTCTGTGCCAACTCATCTATTATCCAGTGTGGGCATAACTTTATTTTCTGTCAGTGTGCCTCCTGAATTATCAGTTTATTAAAATATCATTATTTGGGTAAGAAAACACTCCTTGATACTAAAAAATTCCGATACATCAAAGTAGCTTTAACTAATCCCTCATGAAAATAAATATTTCACTTATGGCAGCAAACACTTCCATTCAGTAAGGAGTTTGAGTTGTCCATCAGTAGGCACGCAGTTGTGAAAGTGAGAGTTTAGGAAATCAACTATGCAGTACAAATCCTATAATTGTTTCACAAGAACAGGCATTCTGAAAACCAGCCTTTTTTTTACCACACAATATTGTTTTGGTCAGCTCCCTCTCACTTTTGGCAGTCCTAATGAGTTTATCACTTTTTTACACAAAGGCATACAATTTCAATGGGTGCTCACTTCTACCAAAAACATCCAGGGACCATATCCAAAGGAGTATCGTAACCCTCTGAAAGGAGAAGAAACTGCTCAACCCTACAAACTCCCCTGCTTTCTAATGTTCTTCACCCTTTTCCCATTGCCCCTCATACCAACTTATTGCCTATTTTTATCACACATTTTCCCTCTTCACCTACCAGGCCGATTCATTATCTACAAGTACCCTTGTACATTGGAGAAGTATATAGTTCTATTATTTAATGTTCCATATTGCAGACGACAATCTGTTGAGAAAAGTCCTCTTGTTCTTATAAACACTTCTTGACACTTCTTAACAGGTTGACACAGTTTCACAGACTTGACAATTTGGATAGTTCCAAGGGGTTTATGCACCTTTTATATGCAATTTTATCCAGTTAACGGTCTGAAAGGATATTTGACAGCACCCCACCAAAGAATTTCTTACCCTCGCCCCTTCACTGTCCTTCGACTATAACATCAAGCAAATCACAACTCTCCAAAATGTGGTTTCTTTCATCTATTAATTTAAATAATCAGCTGCCTCTGGGGACTGCACATGTGCAAGCTATGGACCACTCCATCCAACCTCCAGAAGAAAGTGAAATGCCAAATTCAGGGCTGGGATTTGACATTCACAACAACTTCTAGCATTTTTGCAACACTGGAGTTGCTAAAACCAGGGTCTAACTGTTTCCAATCGTGAAGAGTCAGTAACTAGAGAGTATGGATATCAGATGATTATCAAAAGAAGCAGATATGTTTAAAAAAATGTTTTTCATTCAAGCGGCTAGGATTTGAGCTGCACTGCTTAATAATGTTATGCACAGAATCAATGGTAGTGCTTGAAAGGAAATTAGATGAATATTTGAAGGATGAAAAATATTGCAGAGATGGGGGCAAAGAGTGGACGCATGGAACTAACTGGATTGTTGTGCAAAAGTGTAAATGCAGACATGTTGGGCCAAAAGGCTTCGTTATATTCTGTGCTACTGTTTGAATATTACAACAACCAAGTTGTATCTGCAAATGGATGCCCGAGTTGTGTAAACATGCTATAGATTTGGTTTGTTCATTTATTTGATCAAATTATCTATTTATCACACTTCACTATTGAGAATAACTGACACAGATGTTAAAAGGTATCTACGTTCTCATCTCAATTCCCCAAAAATTAACATTAGTAACTAACATCAAAAAGCACTTGCCTACTACATTTTTCTTGCTAAAAATTAAAATGAAGAGTAAGCTATTAAGAATGTTCTTTGATTTTCTGTTTACTCAAGCAAAATGCAGTTATTTCTCAAAACTGCAGAATGTGCTTGCAGAAATGAAGTAGTGATAGAAAAACTGTGACACCTGACTGGTGTTGTTGGATACCAGTTGTTGTTCTAGTAATATAATTGTCTTATACAACATTATTTTAAAAAGCTTAAACTAATACAGTATTTTAATGTGTGTCTTTGCTCAATACATCCCCTGCTATGCAAGTATTAGAGTATCATTTTTCACATGTTTTCGCAAATGACTAGAATGATGAAATGGCCTGAAATTAATTGTTTGATGTACTGAGGTTACTTAGTTTGCATGTTATGAAATGAGTATGGTTGAGGGACTCGCCTCTCCAGATGCCATCTAGTGTTTGCAGATAGTGAATGCCGTACAAAATTTTGTGTAGGAATGACAGTATTATAAAAGTAAACTTGCATGTATGGAGGTGATAACATAAGGGAATACCTTGGTACTTCGATGAATTGTCATCCTTTCATTTGTGGTTCCCCATTTATTTCAGTGGGAGTGATGTGAGAATAGTTAGTAATAATTCCCATTATTTTTGTGCTTAGACACATTAGCAGAACACCTTCATGAAATACGAAGTTTAAGGCAGCGCTTGGATGAATCTATTAAAAATAATGACAGATTAAGACAACAACTTGAACGTCGACTTGCTGAGGCTGAACATGATCCAGGTGAGCAGTGACACTTCCATTAATCTGAGATTAATAGCTTTAGTCTGCATTTGATTAATGTTGATAGCAGCTAAAAGAAAACCAATTCTAAATATGGTAGCAGGCCAAAAAACATCTTCTAAAATTTAGTGTAGTATGGAGGTCAATCTTTCCATCTCTAGCTGATTGCAGTGGTCCACTATGAAATAGGCATGCATCATTTAGGATTTATTTTGTAGTTGATGTGGCACTTCATCAGAGAACTCCCTGCAATTTGGTATATGTTCATATCAAAATAACAACCTGAAAGTGTTTAGACATGCGAATTTGAAAAATATGTTTGATAGTAATTGTAGTTTATTTTTTGACAGTTTATCCCTATTATGGAGAAATACTGTATTTTTAAATTGAGATTTTAAAAATAAATGCCTGTCAATTAATGAAGAAAAGATCTAATATCTATTTGCACGTGTGCTATTTGTATTACATAAAAAGTCATTAATACTTATAAAACTGTGCTTACATCTTAAGCTTCCACAAATATCTTCATCCACGGGGCAGAGGAACACAGTCACCTGACTGATCAGATTCATTACCTGAAGGAACAAAACAGATCCTTAAAAGAGCAGCTGACAAGAAGCACTAGAGGTGAGTGTTGCTGTCAATGTTAACATTGTAAGAGAAAAGAATAGGAATGGGCCATTCAACTCCTCAACATTCACCAATATCATGTCTCCTTTGACTGTAGCCTTAAATCCACTTTCGTGTTTGTCCCCTTCCAAACTCCTTCATTCCTTTGTTGCTCAAAAAATGATCTATAATTCGTGATTGAATATATTCAATAACCCAGCCTTCACTGCCATGTGTACAAGACAATTCTAAAGCCTCTCAAACATCTGAGAGAAAACATTCCTCCTCATCCCCCTCTTAAATGGGAGATCCTTTATTTTTAGATGCTTCCTCCCAGTTCTGGATTCTCCCATAAGGAGAAGCATCTTTCAAATCCTCTCAGAATTTTGCATGCATCAATAAGATTGCCTGTTAATCTTCTAAACTACAATAAACATAGTTCAGTACTACCACAGAATTGTAGAATTGTTATGGTGCAGGAGGAAGCCATTTGGCTCATCATGCCTGCACCGACTTTTCAAACAAGCATCATTATGTAGTACCAATGTTCTTTCTCCCCTACAACCTTGCCCACTATTTCTATCCAGATAATCATCCAATGTCCTCTTGAATGCCTCAATTGAACCTTGTTCCTTCACATCTTCAAGCAATGCATTCCATACCGTATTTAGCTAGCCGCTATGTGAATTTTTTTTAACATTATCCTTGCTTCTTTTACATGTCCCCTTAATTCTATGACCTCTTGTTCTTGTTACATTTATGAGCGGGACCAGCTTCTCCCTATCTACTCTATACAGCTCACTCATGATTCTGAGAAACCTTTATCAAATCTTGTCTCAGCCTCCTTCTCTGCAAGGAAAAGAGTGCCAAGTTTTTAAATCGATCCTCATAACTGAAATTTCTCATTCCTGGAACCAAATCGTTTCTACACTCTTTCCGCTACATTTACATTTTTCCCATAATGTGGTGCCCACAATTGTACACAGTCCTCCAGCTGAAGTCTATCAAGTGTCTTCTACAAGTTCAACATCACTTCCTTGCTCTTATACTCTGTGTCGCTATTAATAAAGCCAAGGACACTGTATATGTTATTAGCTGCTCTCTCCACCTATTCTGCAAACTTCAATAATCTGTTCATATTCATACCACATCCCTCCGCTCTTGCACCTCTTTAGAATTCTACCCCTTATTTTGTGTTGAATTTTCGTGTTCCTCCTATTAAAGTGCATCACTTCACACCACTCTGCATTGAACCTCATCTGTCACCTATCTGTCCTCTCCACTAACTTTTTCAGTGACATTTTGGAGTTCCACATCCTCCTCCTCACAGTTTATAATTCTTCCAAGTTTTGTGTCTTCTGAAAACTTTGAAATTGTCCCCGGCACACACTGATCCCCAGATCGTTAATATATATCAGGAAAAACAAGAGTTCTAACACTGACCCCTGGGGATCTCTGCTATAAACCTTCTTCCAACCCGAAAAATATCCATTCACCATTATTCTTTGTTTCCTATCATTCAACCAATTTTGAACCCACATTGCTACTGTCCCTTTTGTACCATGATCTATAACTTTCCTCACAAATCTGTTGTGTGGCACTGTACCAGACCTTCTGTATGTATAGGCATACCACATCAACAGCATTGTCCTTATTGAGCCTTTCTGTTACCTCGTCAGAAATGTGTTCACGATGTTCAACCTTTCCTCATAGACAACACCTTCATCCCAGTAATTGCCTTGGCAAAATTTCTCTCAACTGCTTCTGATGCAAGTTATCTTCCTTTATAGGAAGACCAAAACAGTACACAATGCTGCAGATATGATTTTATTTCTCTACATTTATACTCCAAGCCCATTATAACGAAAGTCAACATACCATTTGCATTCAAAATGACATGCTACACTTGTGATTTATTTAAATGACTCCATCCAGAAATGGTTTTTAAAAAAAAGTTTTCAAATCATAGGTCTAGACATTACTTTCATAAAATACTATTCCCAGCATATCTGTCAGAACTTTAGTATTTGAACAATTGCTGTATTAGTTTGAAATTCAATGGAAACTGCCAGTTTTGGGTATATAAGAAGACATTCGACAATAAATGTTAGAATTTCTAACAAAAATGGCTGAAAATTTCCATAACTTGTCGATGTTCCTATGTTTGTTGACCAAACCACTATGACACAAAACCAGACTAATCAATAGGAGCAACAATATGTATGACCAATCAACAAAGTAATATGTTTCTCTCATTCAACATGTACATATAAATAAAAATCAACCATATGCAGGAAATTACTGTACACTACCAGTTTAAGTACTTCACAATTCAGAAGTCACATATGGCACATACCCCTGCCACATTGTATTGAATATCATATTCAGGTTTTGTGTCCGATTTTCTTCTTTTCTCCATCAACAATGGCTCTGGTAAAGTAGAAAAAAATTGATGTTGACTTTTGCTGCTTAAAGACCACGTCATAAATTAATCAAATGAAAGTTTGCAGCTCTCCTAAGTATTGTTTTACCAATTGGGCTATTTGTTCAATCAGCTGTAAGTAATAAAATAATTGAATAGAATCTTTAGATTCATTTAAATTTCTCCACTGTGCAAATGTTGGGTTTTTGAAAGATCTGCCCATTCACCTCCATCGTTCTCCCATTTTGTCAGACTCTGAAATGTTTACACTATCTTTTTAAGAGCTCCTTCACTGCTCTAGTATTCCATGTTGTTACAAACTTTGACTTTTTTATCCCAATTTCTCCCTCTGTCTTTTTTCTGATTATTTTCAAGTTAGTTGATAACTAGAGGATAAACACGAGTGTGGAAATAGTTTTTCCTAATTATCCATGACAAATTTCTGTAGCATTTTGAACAGTTCTACCAGAATTTCTGTCAAACCTCAACAGAAACAAAATGTTGCAGATGTTAGGAATCTGAGCGAAACTCACAAATTGCCAGAAATGTTCAGTGTCTGTAAAGAGAAATAGAGTTAACCTTTCAGACCATTGATGATCCTCTAGTAGCAAAAATTTGCTTCTGACTCTCTGTTCCTGGTTATTGCTATTATTGACTCATTGTTATGCATTTTCATTGAATCACTTCGTATGTGTGGAAGGTTTTTGTTAAAGAAAAACAAAGAATGCTGAATTTATAATCGTAGTTGTCTTCAACATTTCCATTATTTTCCTCAATATTTCTTTAGGACCTACTCATATTCCTGATAACAACTTATTCTCATCTGCTCCATTTTAAAGAATTAATGTAGAAGATTAGAATGAAGCATTTTGAACATTATGGACTGTGGACGATGAAATGAATCATGTAATTGTAATTATAACAGAAAGAGACTTCAGTTTTAAAGAGATGTTGTGCTTTGAATTTCTCTTTCTTCATCTCCTTTGTGTAATAGCCACTAACTTTTCCATGTGGAGGTTGACATATCTGAATGAATAGAGATGACTCATAATTCTAGATTTTCTCTCTTTGTCAGCATCATGTCAATATAGTGGTAACAAGATACAAGTGTACTGTCTTTTCTGTGAGAGGTGGAGAGGTTTTAGGAAGAGAGCATGGACAAAAATGTATGTTTTTCATTTCCCAGCAGAAAAGATAGATGACTATTTGCAAGTTTCTTCTAGTGCTGCAGTTGAATTCTCAGAGAGACAAAGGTGATTCCTTCTCCAAATTTCCTCCTTTTCAGGAGGTCAGTGATCCCTACTTGCCCTATAGCAAGCCAAAATTAGCAAGTCACTGGAATTAGTTAGAGAATTGTGGGAACAAATGTGTGTTGCATCACTCCATTGCACGGCCCTTTAGCCATGCTAAGCCATTGGGTCACAGTGGGCTTTTTTACAACTCGCTACAGGCCAGATAGGAAGAAAAATGCCAACTGTTCCACCTTGAAATAATTGAATTAAAGATTCAATATTTGCCTTTCATAGAATTTTTTTAAAAACCCTCCCATACTGCAGCAAACTAATTTTTTTTTGCAAATTGATTTGCAGACAAACAGAGAGAAAATGAGAAGCTAAAGGAATCTCTTTCAAAGAAGACTGCCACTAATGAGCACCTGCGTAGTGAATGTGAACGTGCAAAGAGGGAGAGTAGTCGGCTGCAAACTAAAGTTGCTAATGCTCATGAAGAAAGCAGAAAGTTGAAAGATGAACTGCAATGCAGTCATGATGAAATCAACAGGTAATTGTTATACTCTACGGTGGAGTCAGGTGACCAAGAACGGTTGCTTGAGTTGAGTGATTTCCCAACTTGCCAGACCTATCTTGATAAACTGTACCCTGAATCACTGAAATATTTTTGCTTCGGGAATGGGGAGCAGCACTGCAGAATGGAATTGGGCCCATTGACACTGGAAGCAGAGCTGGAGTGGGTGAGTGAGTGTCGAGAAGGCCTAGTGAGCCTGATTCTCTGGAAATCCAATTAATGTGTTTTGGAACATTTCTGGCCACCAGCACACATCATACCTTCCATGCCAACTCCATAGCCACTCACTCAGTATACATTCTAGGCTGACCTCAAAATCCATTAGGGACAAGTATACCCCTTTAGGAAATGTCAACAAAGAACTCAGTTGAAAGTGCTCAAATAACTTCTACACCAGCTGCAGCCAGTTTTCTCTACAGTTTAAACAGGGGGTAATTTTTGAAAAAGTCTCATGCATGTTTAACAAAACTGATTCACTGTTCAAGAGTGTTTACATCCACTTCATAAATTTGTGACCCTCACAATGCAGTTTAAGGCCTTTGCAACAGCTAAATTGTGTTCTGTTTGAACTCAGCGGTGCCATTTAAAATTAACACTGAGCTCAGGTTTCACTCCTGTATGACATTACCCCCACTCATTCTTCCAACCCAGCAAAAACTGGATTTGTCAGAAATGGGGGCAGGACTTCTGTATCCTAGTCTCTCCCACCATTTTAAAGATCCTTGTAATCTTCCTGACCATTGATGAGGATGATCTCTTAAGGGAAAGCAGCAACAGCAGCCAGATCAGTGGTGCCATGATTGGCCCTGTTGTACAGCAGGACGGTCAAAGTGTAGAAGAGCAGTAGTGATTAAGGTACTGTATAGTCAGGGGCCCAGGCATTTCTGTGGCCCTGAGTGAGACTCCAGAATGGTATGTAGCCTATCCGATGCAAGGATCAAGGATGTTTTTGGGTGAGCACAGGACATACTGAAAGGGAAGGGTTAACAACCAGATTTCATGGTCCAAATTGGTACTAATGATATAGGCAGAAAGAGAGATGAGGCCCTGAAAAGGGAATTTAGACAGTTAGGTGGGAAGTTGAAAAGCAGGACCTCTGAAGTTGTAATCTTGGGATTACACACTCCCTGTGCCGTGTGCTGGTTAGGCCAGAAATAGAAAGGTAATACAATTATATGCGTGGTCAAAGAGCTGGTGTAGGAGGGAGGGCTCCAGATATTTGGATCATTGGGATCTCTTCCTAGGCAGTGGAGACTTGTACAAGAAGGATGGGTACCAATATCCTTGCAGGGAGGTTTGCTAGTGCCACTCGGGAGTTTAAACTAGTGTGGCAGGGAGGTGGAAACCAGAGCAGTAGGCCAGCAAGTGAAATGATTGAGGAGAAGGTCGATATTAAGTCAAGTAAGTCTAATAGGAAGAACAGCTAGAGCCAGGTTACTGAACATGACGGGACTGGCAGTCTGAAGTGTATTTATATTATTGCAGGGAATTGAGGAAGTAAGGCAAATGAGCTTAGAGTGTGGATTTGTGCATGAGACTACAATGTTGTAAACATTACAGAAACTTGGTTGACAGGTACTGGTAGCTCAATATTCCAGGGTTTAGACGTTTAAGGTGAGAGAGAGAGGGGGGTGGATACAAAAGGGTGGGAGAGTTGCATTACTGATTAAGGAAATTGTCACAGCCGTGGTAAGAGAGGATGTCTTGGAAGGCTCATCCAACAAGGCCATATAGGTAAAAAGTAGGAATAAGAAAGGTGCAATCACTATGATGGGGTTATGCTGTTGGACTCCCAATAGCCAGCAGAAGATAGAGGAACAGATATATAAGCAGATCGTGGAAAGATGTAACACAAGAAGGTTGTTGTAGTGAGTCATTTTAAAACGTCCCCACTATTAACTGGAAGACTTGACCAAAATTGGTGGAATTGTGGATAGTGAGGAAGCTTATCAAAGAATACAGCAGGATATAGACTAGTTGGGCGGAGAAATGGCAGATGGAGTTCAATCTGAGCAAGCGTGAGGTGGTGCATTTTGAGAGCTCAAATACAAGAGGAACATATACAGTAAGTGGCAGGACCCTTCCATAGCTTCCTGAAAGTGGCAACACCAGTGGATAAGGTGCGAAAGAAGGCATATGGCATGCTTGCCTTTTTGTAATTTGGGACACTGAGTATAAGAGTTGGGAAGTCATCACAGCTGTCTAAGACTTTAGTTAGACCACATTTGAAGTATTGTATGAAGTTCTGCTCGCCACATTATAGGAAGGATCTTGAGGCTTTGGAGAGGATGCAAAAGAGGTTTACCAGGATGTTATGAACAAAAACCGAAGTTACTGGAAAAGCTGAGCAGGTCTGGCAGCATCTGTGAAGAAAACATCAGAGTTAACATTAACTCTGATTTTTTTCTACACAGATATTGCCAGCTTTTCCAGCAACTTCTGTTTTTGTTCCTGATTTACAGCATCCGCAGTTCTTTCGCTTTTTATTTACCAGGATGTTGCCTGATTGGAGTCTACTAGCTATAAGGAGAGATTGCAAAAATTTCGCTAGAGTGTCAGAGGCTGAGGGGCAACTTGATAGGATGAATGGCTGGAGTCTTTTTCCCAAGGTGGAAATGACACATACCAGGGGGCATAGGTTTAAGGTGAGAGAGGGAAAGTTTAAAGGAGATGTGTGAGGCAAGTTTTTATACAGAGGGCGGTAGTTGCCTGGAATGTGCAGCCAGAGGAGGTGTTGGAAGCTGATGTTTAGGAGGTACTTAGACAGGCATATGAATGTGCAGGGAATACAGGGATGCAGACAATGTGCAGGTAGATGGGACTAGTTTAGAATGACATCTTGGTCAGCGTAGACATGGTGGGCTGAAGGGCCTGCTCCTGGCTGGACTGTTCTGTGTTCTCTCTGAAATTCCAGCCCTCTGTATTAAAATGTGTACATTTCGAAAGAAACATTTCAAACTTTATAGAAGTGGAGAACTCAAAGCAATGCTGTAAATCCTATATGTTAGACCTCATTAGATGTTGAGAAACAAAATGATGGATGAATTGTGTATGGAATGAACTGCCAGAAAAAAATGGTGGATGCAGGTACAGTTACAGTGTTTAAAAAACATTTGGATAAGGTCATGAATAGGAAAGGTTTGGAGGGATGTGGGCCAATTGCAGGCAGGTGGGACTAGTTTAGTTTGGGAACATGGTTGGTATGCACTGGTTAGACCAAAGGGTCTGTTTCCATGCTTTATGATTCTGACTTGGAATCACAATTGGGTTATTTCAAGGTTACTCTGTCAACTCTTTTGATGAGTATTTTGAGATGTTAAAAATTAAGTGATGTGAAGGAAGATGAGGTGTGAGAATTTTAATATTTTTGACTTAAACCAACTTCTTTTTTGTAGGCTGCACAGAGAACTTAACTTACAGCATCAGCTCTTCACAGAAAACCAGCAGGTACTGCAGTCATTAAGAATGGAGCTTCGAGTGTATGAGCAGCTTGAGGACGGAAAAACAGGTATTTTTGCAAATAAAGTAATCTTAAAATTTTCTTGTCTTATTTCCTCCTCAAGCCCCTGGCCAGCCACCCAATTCATTTTTCACTTCTAGAAAGGAATTGTAAAGCACCTGGCTAATGGTGAAAACAACTAACACTACATAAGAGTATAAGCAATTAGAGCAGCAGTGGACCATCCTGCCCTGCTCTGCCACCTCAGTACAATTATTGCTGATCTAACATTTAAATTGCACTTTCCTGTCTACTCCCCTTAATCCCTTTTTTGCTCAAGATATACAGCTCCATCTGGGAGTTTTAAATAAAAACTGAGATTTCCTTGTGCTTATAAAATTGTACATAATTTACATAGGCCTGAAACATGATCATCAGAAATGTTGCGCACAATGCTGCTGCTGCTTAAGAAGCTTATCCCGACCCAGTGCTACTACCCACTTTTTCTGGGAACTACTTATCCTGGCTGAAGGATAATGCATCGTTTTCCTGGGGAGCCCAGTAAATTGCAGTAGAATCCAGTAAGAAAGCATGCGTCCCCCTTTTTTTTTAAAGCACTGTCTGCCAGATTCTGTGAAGTATTTACAGGTTCAGTCTTTTAATGAATGAGTTTGGGTTATTGTTTAAGCGAGTGGGTAGTGTCTAGAGTTATTCAGGCAGTTGGTGAAGTAGTCAGCTGGCTGGGGTTTCCGGGGTGATGATTCTGGAGGTTGGATATCGAGTCACTCACTTGTCAGACCAGGTTTTAAACTGTCTAACATTTCCTCGGTAATTGTGAAGGTAAATTGAACAGATCTATCCCAAGTCACTGACTCTAGTTCAAAGTTGGAAACATTGACCCAGGGTTCTGGGCAGAAGGGACTTGCCCATCTGGCATTTGAACTTCCCGGGCAATTCCCATATATGCTGCCTGTACATCAGGATTTCCACAAGAACATGACGCGTATCTTCAATGGTATATCTGTTCTCTGACATTCCAGAGAATGGAAGATGTGGGCCATTGTTTCCTTGCACTCTGGAAGGATCTAATCATTGTTGTATATGTTTTAAGTAGGATCAAAGTTTCAGACCTGCATAATTCTATGTAATGTAATTTCTATGTTTTTTATCCCTAAGAATAGATCTAAAGACATACTCTAGAATTAGGACATTTTGTGCTAATGACTATGTAAGGCTGTATGGAAAATACTCTCCATTAAATTTCTACTTCATATTCACTTGGCTTATATCTTCCATGATGACCACAAGCCCTTTTAAACAATTTGCAGATTGGCTAAAGCCTCTGTGTGCAGCTGCCCACCAACAGTGTGATTGCCAAGACCATTCAGGCTGTGGTGCAGTCCAAACAGTGACTCACATTGTCAATGAGTGTCCACTGATTAAACTTGGAAGCAACTTAAAGTCCTCCATTTAGCCACTGACATGACTATTCCTTGGCTCTTTGACCATACACCTCCTAACTAAACAGTACATTAAAAAGGGATTGTGGGTAGAATCTTGTAGAGGTGTTGAGTGTTTTGGCTGCCAGTTGTAGAGCTGGCATTGCTCCATTTAGGGAATATTTACTGCATGTTGTTCTACTCGGACACTTGACAGACCAGCATCAAAAGCCTCTGTAGGATCAAGGATGCTGGGTATGGAAGTTCTACCCACTAAGAACTTCTGACCAATCAGAGGCTGCCTGCTGTATTGAATGGCAGTGCCACTGAGGAGGCAACCATTGATGCCATTATGACACCCATGATCATTGCTTGATCCCAGCCCAGAAGGACCTGTGGGAAAGAGACTGAGCCTGCTCTGCACCCCCACTCCCCCCTGACAAAACCACTTGTAATGCTGGGACAAATACAGAGTTGCTGCAAAAGCTCAGCAGGTCTGGCAGCAGCTGTGAAGAGAAATCAGAGTTAATGTTTCGGATCCAGTGACCCTTCTTCAGAACTGATGCTGGGACCTTTAATTAGGCATTCATTACCTTTTGAACAGCAACCACCCCCATGCCCAGAATTCCACAAGGATCAATGCCTCCACATGGCAAGCCCCAAAGCCACTGCAGGGTTAGCACTGACCTTGCCAGGATCAAGCTGTCCACTTGCCTTTCTACCAAGGACTTAAATGGGTTTCAAGGGGACACTCCCAAATGCTTCCCCCATCATCAAACTTGCCATGGGGAAAGCAGAAGAGTCTGCCAGATTTTTAGACTATTTGTTACCTTCCTATTGTACATTTGCTGGTGCTTTAGTTAGGACTACTTCACCTTTTTCAAAGACAGAAAGTTTTGATTTTGGAAAGTAATGTTCTGCATGTAGGGTGGTAGGTGGCTGGAACATGCTGCCAGGGGAGATGGTAGATGCACGTGTAATAGCAACGTTTTAAGACGCATTTAGACACATGAACAGGCAGAGACTAGAGGGATGCACACCATGTTCAAGCAGATGGAATTAATTTAGAATGGCATCGTGGTTGGCACAGACATGGTGGCCTGAAGAGTTTGTTCCTGTGTTGTATGTTCGTTGTTCTATGCACTGAGCAGAGACCTAGCACCAACCCTTTGTGTTTTGAAACTTACCCTTTGTAAATGGCACTAAAATTGTACCACCTTGAACTATGGGTCAACCACTCATAAGACTTGAAAAAAAAAGAATTTTAGAGAGTCTCAATTTAATTCAAAATTCAGTAGTAGCTTAAGCTAAAATATTAACATTTCTATCCGGTTCATTTTGTTTCCTATTTTCCGGGTTGTTTGGCTTAATGCCTACTAATTATCTTCCAGCATATTTGATTTGGTGAAGTTGGAACTACAAAAGGAAATCATTTTGACCCTTTTTATTTCTTTAACTGCAAAAATGTCAGAGCTGTTGAAGTGTTAGTCTCTGATCAAGAAGTTTCTGAATATGATATTTGTTTGTATGTTAGTATCATTTTAGCCTTCTTTCTGTGTTTAATATTACTCTTTACCAGAGACTGGATTGTGTAGGTTTTTGTTTCTGTCTGGGACTGGAATGTTTAATTGAAGTGTCAGATTGTAAGTTCCCTCTTGTGTATAATTAGACTGGAAGTGATGCTGAATGTAATTTATTCCATAAACCAGAACCTGTGACAATCTCTTCGTGCAGTAAAGTTGGCATTTATTTACTGATCTTGTCCACTCTTACTACTAAATCTTGCATCACACTGAGACTGTGAAAGTGAAAGACTATTTACTGAAGTGTCTTATATTAAGAGAAGAAATTGAAACAATATTTATCTTTTGTTCACCAAGTTCATACTTATTTGCGCAGCTTTCAATATTCAGCATGCAAAGGACTTTGATATAAAATTAAGTATTTATTATAATAGTCTTGTTTTGCAATATTGCAGAGCCTCCACAACAGATCAGCCAAGAATCGGTGAAATATTTTCAAGGATCTATTGATCTAAATGAACTCTTGACAGAGATCCATTGCCTACGGATTCAGTTGGAGAGAAGTATTCAGACCAACACCAGTTTACGTCAGAAGCTTGAAGAACAACTTCAACAAGGACAAATCAAAGCTGAAGGCAGTCCTTCCACTATTAATATAAACTATCTCTTAACAAGAGAGCAGAGACGTGCTGGGAACAGACGTTTGTTTCAAGGTAAATAATTCAACAACATTTCCTTGTGTAAGAGTAGTAGCATGATCAAAGTAGCTTTGACTTTTGCAGGCACTGTACCTCATGAATAAATTACAACAGGGTCAGAGCACAGATATGTTTATATTAAACAAATTGTCAGAACATTCCATTTGTGCTATCAAAAGTTGGGTGAAGTATTTAAAACATTCTTCTTATTTGCTCTTGGACAGTGGCCAGGATACTGCTCATCCTTATTTCATTGAGCATTGAGACTCCACAATACAACATAGGACTGGGTTTTGGTAGTAACTAGATTGAATAAGAATATGAGGTTCCCTCCATGAAGGACACTATTTGACCAAGTCTGAGTTTTATAACAAATTTACTGGGATTTTTTAAGTCATTATTCAGCCCCAATAAACAATTGAGGTTTATTAAATTTAGTTGTACAGATTTGAATACTCAGTGTCTGAGATGTTTGTTCAGTATCAAAGTCATAAATCTACTGTGTCTCTGTGCTTGCATATTGATGTTCATTAAGCTTGTGAGAGTGTAAACACGTTTAACCCATTGTTGTCTTTTAAAATGTTTAGTGTTTGAAGTTCCTCCTCAAATAAATTTTCACCTAAATTTAGTTCCAAAACCAGAAACACTAATATATAATTTTCTCAATTCTTTGGAGTCCAATGCAAAGGCGGGAGTGTAGATGGTGAAAGGGGTCAGGAGGCAAGCCATGTTGCAACTTCCCAGGACAGGGAAGGGAGGGAGGCCTGTTTACTTAGATGCTCCAAGGTCCAAGGAGGGGTTGCTCTCGGCACTGTTAACTTAAAAAGTGGCCTGGCCCCAATTTAAGTATCTAATCCTTTAGATTTCCCCAGTGATGCTGCCTTCATGCTGTACTTGCATTTTTGTGAAAACACTTAATAGATTCTGAAGCTGACATGTCTGTTTCTGCTGAAGATGGAAGAGGAAATTTCCACTCTCATGCATTTCCAACATCACCAAAATCTGCTAACATTCCTGCAGGTGTCACTGTTGATGATGGGTCAATGTTCAGAATCCCAAGTATGTACCATGTATAAGAGATGATCTCTTTAATTTTCATAATAAGACTTCTAGGGATGAAATTGTGACAATAATTTTCTTGAATTTTGTCCATTGGCAGTATTAAAGTTTTTTTTTTTATTCATGCATGGGACAAGGGTGTCATTGGCCAAGCCAGCATTTATTGCCAATCCCTAGGTAAGGATGGTAGTTTCCTTTCCTAAAGGGCATTAGTGAACCCGGTGGATTTTTCCTGACAATCAACAATGAATTCATGACCATCTTTAGACTCTTAATTGCACACTTTTATTGAATTCCAATTCTACCATCTGCCATGGCAGGATTTGAATCCAGGTCCTTAGAACATTACCTGGGTCTCTGGATTAACAGTCCAGTGATAATACCATTAGGCCATTGCCTTCCCATTAGTAAAATTTGTGTTCTTTTTGTCATTGCATTTTGCATTTTAAATTAAACCAATCAGTTTGTGCTAACTTCAAGATTTTCATGAGTCCAATATACTGTTTATTTCACCAGTTTTAGTTCTGTGCAGTTTTGTAAATTGTCAGTCATTATTTCCCAGTTTAGTCTGCTGTCACGTTTGGCTTCACACTGATTTTTTTTTTAAATTAATCTATTTTTCTAATCTACCTGTTCAGAGAGCAGGTGGAAACACTGATTTTCTTTTCATTTGTGGCAACATTTGTTTATTTGCTTGGGACAAATGGCAGACAAGGGCTCACATCTCATTTAACAGTGAAATTCACAGCTATATTGTTTAGTTTTCTTTGTTTTAAGTTTGGATAATTAACTGCTTCTTATCAATCTTGTAGCTTCAGCATTCACAGTGCAGCATTTCTTTACTCAATAGCACCTAAAAGAAATGCTACAATACCAATATTGATTGGATCAACTCATCTGAAACATTTTTATTTGGGGCAGAATTTTCTTCTCTTGTCCTTTACCTTGCTTTCTGCAAAAACACATTCTGCATATGGACATTGGGTATAGATCAGGAGATAAAACATGTAGTGCAAATCTATATGAAACTAAAGTTAATCGTAGTTAATAAAATGGGATGCAATGAATATAATAATATAATATAATATAATACTGGTTTTTTTAAACCAATAAATAGTTTTGTTTCTCTGTATGTATATGTTTCTCCCAACTTGCATTTTAAAATATATAATAATACAGCTAATTCTGAACTTGAAATGTTTCTTTTAATTTACAACTTCTAACTTTCATTCAACTTAGGAACCAAAGAACTGCCAAAAGATGAGTTTGATGGTTCTTCACATTACAGTGATAGTTCAATAGAAAACCTGTCACACAAACCTTCTAGAGTCCTACCAGAGCTTCAGAAGCTGGCCGACAAAAATGGGCAACATGTGCTTGGACTGTTAGAAAATTATAATGCACTGCGCAAACAAATCTCTGACAGCCGGTCACTGCTTCATGGAATGGATACATGTCTTGGTGATGTGGCTGCTTGTCAGACTACTGCTGCAAAGGTAAACCTGTGTATTTTACGAAATGTATATTTTAAGAAACAGCAATATTGCAAAAATGACCTATTACTGCAAGACATGGTGCCAAAACTGAGCACATGTAAAACAATCTCCAGTACATTTCACCTTCACAATACCAGCTCTAAGAGGGAAATGAACATACCTTGGATGATAAAAGACTGAAGCATGATCCCCACTCTGTTTATTTAAGCATCACACTTGTCAGAACTCTTACGTATAGACACTTTTTTAAAAAAAAATTTAAAACCTACTTTAACCTCCACCTTAAATGTTATGCACTTTAGTAGGAAGAGTAGAAGAGTAGACTATTTTGTAAACTAGGAAAGGCTTCAGAAATTTGAAGCACAAAGGGACTTGGGAGCCCAGGTTCAGGATTCCCTTCAGATTAACATGCAGGTTCAGTTGGCAGTTAGGAAGGCTATTGCAATCTTAGCATTCATTTCAAGAGGGCTAGAATACAAGAGCAGAAATGTACTACTGAGGCTGTGTAAGGCACTGGTCAGACCGTAATTGGAATATTGTGAACAGTTTCATGCCCCATATCTCAGGAAATATTTGCTGGCATCGAAGGGGGTCCAGAGGAGGTTTACAAAACTGATCCCCAAAGAAGGGCTTGTTATATGAGAAGCAGTTGAGGATTCTAGGTCTGTTTATGATGAAGTTTAGAAGGATGGGGGGGAGGTGGAGGTGTGGGGGAGGGGTGGGGGCGTGGGGAATGGGATCTGATTGAAACTTGCAGAATACTGAAAGGCCTGGATAGAATGGACATGGAGAAGTTGTTTCCACTAGAAGGAGAGACCAGGACCTGAGAGCATAGCCTCGGAGAGAAGGAGCAACCCTTTAGAACTGAGATGAGGCGGAACTTCTTCAGCCAGAAGGTGGTGAATCTGTAGAACTCATTGCTGCAGAGGACTGTGGAACCCAAGTCATTGAGTGTATTTAAAACAGAGATAGATAAGGGATCAAGGGTTACGGGAGAAGGCTGGAAAATGGGGTTGAGAAACAGATTAGCCGTGATTGAATGGTGGAAGAGACTCGCTGGGCCAAATGGCCTAATTCTGTTCCTGTATCTTAGTTACTTTGTAAAACAAATGGTGATGATTGTGCTTGTGCAGCAAACAACATAGATTTGTATATTCCATTCTTAATATGCACTTAGTTAAGAACATATAGACATAAGTATTCCAAAGCATAACAGATTCTTATGTAAATTTGGACAAATCGGCAATTCGATTTTTAATTAAACCACTGTGACAATACTGTGGCTTTAAGAGGTGTATTTTGTCCTCGTTTCCTTTCTGAAGAAAGGTTGAGAGAGAGGCTCCGAGCGGTCTGCTCAGACCAACTAGAGTAAAATACTTGTGAGGCCTTGGGTTTTTTTTTAAAGTTGAAACAATCGAAGTAGCCTGAATGGGTGGCTCCCACAGAACTAGGATTTTTAGTTTCCAGTAGCAATTGCTGGGGTCTTGAAGCTGGATGTGGAAACTGTTTTTCCTCTCTCGAATACAGGTAGAAGCTGGGGTTCTGTTCCTGCTAATGGAGTTGCATGTGAGACAGACTGTTTTAGTGAATTTGTCTTTGTCAAGGGTGTGTTTATGAGATGCTACTGTATTGGAACAGTTACTGCTTAGTCGTTAAATAATCTATTATCCTGTTAAGTTTTCCAATAGAGTTAAGTTATTCCAATCTCTTCTTTCTTTTGTTGTATTTTAACAACAATGAAATATGTTTAGCTTAACATTGAGTAGTTTTGACCAATTGAATTGCATGTGAAACACAACACCCTACACTCACCTTTAAAATAAGAAAACGTTAAGGTTTAGACTATCTTCCGTATCTGTTTTGAGGGGTTTGGTCTGGTCCATAACGTCACCAAAACCTTTCCTAGTTCAGATCAGCCTTGAAACCTCTTCTGAGACTTGATCCAGTTTTTAATCGTTGAGGGCACAAGTGGATGCATGAATTCTACTCTGAATCCTGGATATACTTGAAAGTCTTGCTGCTTCATATTAAAAAGCACAATTTTGTTCCCAATTTTTCTATCCAATGGCACGTGGAACTACCCTGATGTGAATTGGAGTTGGATCACAGATAAGTTGAATTATTGGGACAGTGAAGTGATAATAAATACCTTTTGCATTATGCTGGAACATGCTGTTTCAACATCAGAAACAAGAGATAACAAGGTGTAGAGCTTTATGAACACAGCAGAACAGGCAGCATCAGAGGAGCAGGAAACGTCAGCTTTCCTGCTCCTGTGATGCTGCCTGTCCTGCTGTGTTCATCCAGCTCTACACCTTGTTATCTCAGATTCTCCAGCATCGGCAGTACCTACTATCTCAGAAACAAGAGATATTTGTCTTTTTGTTACTGTGCTGCTTATAAGCTATTTACTTTTTAATAAAGTTGACTCTAATTTACTTGTCTTTAATTTTTCTGCTCCAGGAACCAAATGAACCTTGCTTAAAGGACTTGGCCTCAACTGTAAAAACATTGGAACAAATGCTTGAGGAAGCAGGACACTTGCTAAAATGCTTCTGGAGGATATCTTTACCGATCTCTTCTGCCAGCTCTAGTCATCATACGCAGGTACAAAGAACACATTTATTGGGCTACAACAATGTCTTTTTCTAAAACCATCTGATGTCCAGCCTTAAAGCAAATTTTTTTTTATGAAAGAGAGTTATTCTGTTTTTGGTTTAGTGATGTAGAATCATAGAACCATGCAGCGTGGAAGGGGTCGGTACGTTGAGTTCCAAAGCTAAAGTCCTGAATCACAGTTCAGTGCCAACGTAATTGAAGTCCAGTTCTGAAAGCACTTTTATGGCTTTTTGTCCAAGTGCCCGACTAATTTGGTAGATAAATTATTAGGCACAAAGCCATGTGGAGCAAGAGGATAGCAAGTTTTAATCCCATGTTGATACTTAGCAAGCCGGAGGCAATTCCACAATGCAGGGAACAATATTATTCAACTTTATCATAGAATTAGACAGCATAAACGGGAGGCATTCAGACAGTTGCCTGAGCCAGCTCTTTGAAAAAGCTATTTTGACTAGTCCTGTATCCATGTGCTTTCACCATAGTTAATATATCCAACTTCCTTTTGAATTCCTTGACGTTTCCCTATACTAAGGGGAGATATTTCTCAATTTAAGCTGAAAGGTTTTGTACAGATTAATGTGTTTCGTACCTTCCAGCACAATGTTCTCTCTGATGAATTGAACTGTTGGCAAATATGCTGTGTATTCATGTAAGGAAAGAATGCAACAGATGTCAATCTTAGCATAATGACTTAGCTATGTGGGGAGTGATGGTGAATATGTAAAGTTATCTTCTTTAAAGTTCTATTCCACTGTAGTCCAGCATTTTGATAATTGACTAATGAAGACTCAAGAATTACACAGGGATATTATCATATGTTAATTTTTTCTTTGCCCTATAGGGAAAAACTGTGACAGATGAAATTTACCGGCTACGCAAGAAATTGACTGAACAGGAGAAACTCTTGCATGGCACAGTTAAACGTCTTCGTACGACTAACCAGCTTAAAGAGGGAATGGAAAAGGTCATCATTAACCAATGTATGTAACCATACCAGTCGTCATCATTTGTTTCTGCTTCTTGATCAAGCTGTTTTCAAAGCATCATGTTTACTTTGGTTGTCTTTGTCTTCGTTTTTCATCTCCTTTTTCAATTGCTAATATTTTTTCTGGAAAATATTGAAAAATCCTGTGTTGGTTGTTCTTCATTTTTGTAAAAACCAATAATTTGCCACACGGGAGCACAATTTTGCCTACTCACCTGGGAAACACATGCTGCTTACATATCGGAGTCAATGATTAAAGGTTATACCATCAATAGGTACCCCATACAGTCCTTTATTTTTATTTCTAACTTTTTACATTTTCTCCATATATCATCTCAACTGATCTAATTATTTTAATTCATGCTTTGAGATCGTGTCCCTGTTTTGTATTGCACTACTAGAAAAGTTATTAGAATTATCTATGTGTCATGCAATTTAGATTCACAAATGCATGCAATACTCCTAAGTACCTGTGGCTATTAGCTGTACCTTATCAAGTGGTAAAATGAGTAACCTAGCAGCTCACCTTTAGTCATTTATTATTACTTAGATGACCCAATAATTCAACTTGTATGTGAATCAACTCCATTCCATTTCAGGCAGTCCCATGAACCAATGAGCTGAAAAATCGAGAACAAAATTGCATTTTTTAATATAAAACAGCTGGCAGCACTAACAGCAAGATTTTCAAGTGTACCCAGGATTCAAACATAGACTCCAAGCATCCACTTGTGCCATTAGGATTGAGAACTAGACTGAGTGTTAGCTGAGTTTTTGAGATGGATCTGAGCTAGAACAGAATTTGGTGTTTTAATTTACAAATCTAACAGCAAATTTATCCAAATTTATATATGAATCTTCTTTGCCTTGCAATATTCATGACTATATTTTCTCAACTGGCTACAGATTAAGAATGGTACACAGAAATCTGGATATCCATTCACATATTGGAAATCAGTGTGTTACCTGCTGTGCTACTACCCTGCCCAGTGTCTTTTTAAGGTTGTCATCTGTGTATTACATAATTTAAGTATATCTGTGGCGTATTTTTTAATTGAAATGTTTTATTCCTTTTAAAGTGTCATTAACCCATGATGTTCTAAAGAAAGCTAGAGGAAATCTGGAGGTGAGTGAAGCAATCAAATAAACTATGATAGAAGATGGTTAAAATTTTGATAACAGTTTGATTTGGTGATAATGGTGCTTTCTAGTACTATAATTTCTAAAGTTATCTCTACTGGTTCTGTTTTCCTTCCCTAACTTCTGATAAATATCCTCCTTTGCTCCATTTTAAAATTTGAGGTAGCTTCAAGTACTAATTTGTGATGTTTTGTACAAATGTGGCCACCCATTTAGAGGAACAATATATATAAAGAATTAATAAGTCCCGAATTGATTTAGTCAGATGTTATCAGGGATACAGGCTCATGGTTTTGGAGAGATAGTTCAGAGGTTAAGGAATGGTCTGTCAGAAGTCTTCAGAATTAAGTTATGAATTGTGTTTGTTTACAAACATGGCAAGCCTTTACTGAGGAGCACACAAATTTAAGATATTCCCAAAGAAAAGTATTTAGAAAAAGATTCCTCGCATAGAACATTGCAGAATATGGAATCAGCTGAACAAACATTGTTGAAAAGCAGGATTGTTGAACTTTAGTTGTTTGAAAAAGGGTAATATTGATGATTAGCAGAATAAACAGAAGAATCGAATTAGATTAGGTAGCCCATTTGGAGATAAAGCATGCCCAATAGGTTGAAAGGCCTGTTTGTGTATCGCAACACTGTGAATTTACAATTCAGTCTTTTAACAGCTGTTCTTTTCTAATAAAAGTTGAGTGGTATTGATGTTTTGAGCCAAGACTGTTACTTGTGGAATCAGTTAATACAGACCTTATGAACTGGCCAGTGGAAATATAGCTTCATTAAGGCAACTATGTATAGATGTTATTTTCCATAGTGCAGACTTGCTATGTCTGTTACTAGTGGTTGTTTAATTTTGCCTGATTGCCTGTGTATATAAAGAGGACCCTTTCATTTTGTGTAATGCAGTTATCACTAGTGAGCCCAATTTGATTGATTGACAGAATAATAAAATTGCCTGAGGATCAGCCTCTGGTCTTGACCAGAAGTATGAAACAAGCACGTAGAAAATTGACAGTGCATTTTACACTGAGCTTGACACTCCTTTTGCTTAAAGTCATTAATGTTTCAAAAGTAATAAATAATAACAGGGAGTGAAGTGAATAGAAAAGAACATCAAGTGTGAAATCATAACAGCTGCCAATTCATGAGGAGCTTGTTTCACAACAGTAGCAAGAACTAAATTCCCTCTTATTCTTCTTATTGCTCCATTAACTAAAACTACTGTTCTTTGAAATGTTTTGAACTAGAAATAATGAACAATTAGCATTTATCTCTGAAGTTTTGTAGCCTAAGAAAATGATACAATGCAGCATGTGGACAGGTGTTTATGCCGCAATATATTTAGTACAGATTTGCCACGTGAACTGAGCTTGGCTAGCCCCACAAAACCATCTCACTTCTTAGAATTTCAGCTGATACAAGTTTTCGTTGGTCAATATTTATAAATTTGAAAGAAATTAACAGACTAATGCTGAAGCAACCCTAAGAGTTGTAGTAATTAATACGCTTAAATGTTAGATCTCAATTTATTCTGTTATAAACAAACAAAAAAGAAGGATGAACTAAGCTACTGAGTTTGTTCTATACCATCATGGTGTAATTCTACATGCCATCTCTAACAGTCACACATTGTTCAAGGAGGGTACATTAACTCTGCATGCTTAAATCAAAATAGATGTGAACATGTTGATCATCCAGTCTTTGTACTTTTGTTCTGTCTCTCTGTTCCGTTCACTTTCACCTCGTTTTTAAATGTACTGACTTCTTCTTATGATCTGTAGGTAATACTGCTGAGAAGGGTCTGTGGGATTTTGCTTTAAATAGCAATATAGCAGTGTGTCAGAGGACTTGCTCAATGATTGGGCCAGATATCTACTGATGCATTTTCCCTGATTAAATGAATAACGGTGTTTTCAGAGCCAGATACATGATATGCAACGCCAATGTCTCAGTCCCAAACAGATGAGACTTTTCTTCCTTTCTTCCCTTATGTGAATATTCTGTTTATAATTTTGAGATACTAGGTGCTCAGACTCAAAAGAACATGTAGAATGCAATCATCAGAAAAGTAGGAGTGCTGTGAAGATGTACTGTCTTATTTTCCTTCTGCATGCAGGGTACTTAGCTCTGCAATTGATTACAGGTGCAAGCTGAAAAGGACACTCCGACCAGCAACCAGAGGTTTTATAATGTAAATAATCTTGTCTCAAGCTGATACCTCAATCTTGTCAGGTATCAGGCTAGTCAGGTACACAGAACTGCCAAGGTGACCTCAGCTTAACTCACAGAATCATACTAATTTTGACGCAAGGCCATCAATCTGAAAATGAACCTTTTTTTTTCTCCCTCCCATTATGTTGCCTGACCTGCCTATTTCCAGCAATTTCTGTTTTTAATTTTATTCCAAATGCCCAACTTCTGAGTATTCTGCTTCTGTAAACATGCAAACATCACTCTATAAATAATAAGCCTTCCTACGTACATTGCTGGCTAAGTGGTAATTTGATTCAGTGGCTAAAGTATAGTTTCTAGTGCCACTTCAGTAGTCCATCACATTATCTTACATAGTATTCCAGTACAGAATGGAGAGTGTGCTGCATTGTCAGGGGTGGAAACAATCCAATAATACAGGATCATCTTTCACTGTTCACGTGGCACCTCGATCAGCTATAAAGGGAAGACAGTGAAGGTGACTGTGCACAAGGATGAGACCAAATAAACTGAAAGTGTATTTGCATTCAGTTAAGTTGTACAATATAATTATCCAGTCTGGATTGAATTTTGCGGCTTTTACCAGGGATAAACAGAATGTAAAGAGATTTTATGATTGTTTTTATGAAGTAATTGCTTTGCTTGCCTAAAATGGCCACTGTTTCCCATACATTTGCAGATAGGGTCTTGGCATCAGCTGGCCTCAACAGGGTCAAATCAATTTAGGAAATAAGCTCAGAAAAATATTGCTTTTAAGGCATTATGCAATGTTGGTGAAATAGTGGTGCTGGTTGTACATATTGGAGGTAGATGAAGGTTTATCCCCATTCTGGGATGATTTATAAGAATTACTAGGGACAGTGGGGTGATTTTCTAGGAGTTAGCAGGGCTGAATTCAGTGATATTGTATGAGTGATGTATCAGAGATACATCTATAATCTATAGGAAATACTATGATAAAATATAGGCAAATTGGGGGTAATTGTTTCAGATATTTGAAAGCAACTGAGAGGGTGGGATTTAACAGAAGTATGAATAATATAAAAGTGGAATTGAGTGCGGGAAAACCAGTATTCACTATCTCTGAGGCTGGCCACTGCTTTCTGTCACGCCTGACTGACGTCAGCTTCTTCGCACATGCATGCTCTTTCTGCCACTGAGGTGTTGCATTTGAACCACTTGCAGCCTTATTTTTAATCCTCTTTGCTGAGGTTGTCTAAATTCTTCTTTGTGCTTTCACTGTAAGTGCTGTTCCTACCTGCTGTTTTCATTTGAGTCAAGGGAGTATGTGTTCTTCCTTTAAATCAACAGCTGTTTTGTAGCGAACGAGGAAATTATTAGGTTCTATTAGGGATTTTTTAAAAATTGAAATGAGTTCATTCATTTCTATCACACTGTACACATGCAAACATACTTCCTTGTGTGAGAAAAGCAATTGATTGCAAACTTCACTTTCTAAAAGCACAGTATTAAATTAAACCAGTGAGTTTTCAGATTAAAATGAGATTATTTAACTATTTTAACAAGATTTTAATAATATTATAACCAGTTTTTAAATATTTTGAAAGTTTAAGATGTTGAAAAGTAATCATTAGTATTTGCAATGATAAAATGCAAATTTGCATTTTAATATTTGTATTCTTTTTTGCATGAATTCACCTCCAGTTGCGCTTCCCTGTATTAATCAGTACACTTTGTGGCTAAAATTCTAACCTTACTTTTCAAACTTACTTAATTCGGTGTTTTACTCCTTTTTCCTTTTCTCTCTCCACTCTTGTCCTTAACCGGAGCATTTGCAGATGAATCATTACATGGTTTTTGATCTTAAAGGCTTTCCAAAGCAAAGTGAAGGTTGGTGATGTGTGTAATCGCTTGTGTGACTGCATGAAAATACTTGATTCACACTGATCTTAAGGTTCTAGGTTGGAAATGTTTCACTTGAATTATCTGATGGTTTTTCTGAAGAAGGCTCTAGGCCCGAAACGTCAGCCTTCCTGCTCCTCTGATGCTGCTTGGCCTGCTGTGTTCATCCAGCTCTACACCTTGTTATCTCAGTGCTGTTTCTTTGCTTTATTTAGTTCTAAACTTACAGGAGCAGGGCATCTTGCAAAGTACCTTGTCCGCTGGATGTTTTCCTGCATTCTTTAGCAATAGCTATGTTTTGTCACAGAATTGCTAGACCTAAGAATTAGTAATTATTGAGTGAGGGCAATAAGCCATCTGGAATCTTGGCAAACAAAGGCACAAAAAGCGTATCTCTGTCAAATGAAATTTAGAGAAATTTTAAATAAATACCGAATTGGAATGGGTAAATTCATGTAATATTAGATATAGGAGGAGAAATAGAGACAGTCAGAGATAGGAGAAAAGAAACAAAGGGAAAATAATTCATTTCTATTTTATTTTAAAATCAACTATTCTGTGCCTCGAAACAAGACTCTACATTTTAATTGTTCATCTCTGGGAAGGAGAGACTGATTGGCAATCATTAACTAGTATCATGGCTGTAAGTCTGGCAAGTTTAAAAGGTCTATTTAATGTGCAAATACAGAAACTTCATGAAAATTAAGGAGAGATTCCAGATGAGATATTTCATAAAACTAGAGTGCCGTTAATCAGCCAGCAACTCATGGTACTTTGCAATTCAAACGTTATTTTGCCCTCGTCACAAGTCGCTGACTGATTTGCACATTGGTCCAAATTTACTGAAGAAATATGTTAAATCCAATGTAGAGCAGTAAGCTGTGAATTCTAGCTCAGTGCAGTAGAGTAGCACAATTCAGAAAGATTCTGCAGAGTTTCTAACATTCCCAAATTAGAGTCATCCCAACCTCGATTTTTTTTTTCATCAGACATCAAGCATTTTCCTGTTGTGATTCCTTCCACCTAAGGGACTGAAGCCAATGTGAAGTGTATTTTGAGCAAGGAAATTTGCGTGAAGCCTGGAAAAACTTCATATTACGCAATGTTTTACAAAAAGCACCTTCAATGTAAAAGGTGTTTTATTAACAATTTTGAAGACTAGTTGCATTCCACTAGATAATTATCTCTGTTTAGTGCAAAGAAGCAAAGTTGTTTTTAACATAGTGTTCCAGATGGCTCATGAGAATTAATAATGTAAACAGTTTAAAGTCAGTCTCCCTTTTTCTATCAGTTGATGTATGTATATCTTTATAAGAATATGGAAATAATTCTATCCAAGGACTGGTTTACCCTTGGAATGATAGTAGTACATATCCATGTATTTAACTGTTGGATCGTATTCAGAGGAACCTTTGCATAAACCTCTAAAATCTCTTGTTCATACTCATCCAAGCTAGGGGGAAGGATGTCAAAGGTTAAATTCTTGTTTAGGGTAGTAATGTTATTGACGCAATTGTTTTCAGAGATTTATGCTAACAGTCTGCTCTCTTTTAAAATACTTTGTTTTGCATGACAGCAAATCAGTCAAAGCAACTAAATTTTAATCTTGTGATGTTGAATGCATCATTTATCCAAGTTCTGAATGTTTGTGAAATTATATTGTGATGGTATGTGATAGTTGTGATAGCATATTGTATAAATTTCACAGTTGTAATTTCAGGGTTCTTACAAAATCATCTCAACAGTAAATTATTTTTCTTCTTCAAGCAGATCCAACCTTCCGAAGCTCCACCAACAAATGGAAATAACTAATTTAGTTAATACAGCTGTGATCAAATTTTCCAGTGAAGAGGTTTACTGTATTCCTCAAACGTTTGACTCTTTAACATCATTTGCAGCGATTGAAAATAATTTCTTTTAAAGTATCCTGTTAAGTTGCAGGTTAAATTGCTGAAACATTTTTTTTGTGTTATTTTTGTCTGGAAATGGCTTTTTTGCACAGAGGTGCAGAATTGTTTCTGCATGCAAAAATGTTAGATGTAACCATGAGTACTTGTCAAAAACCGTAGCTGTTGGAACAGTACAGGTGAAACATTGTGGATTTAAAAAGAGTGAACAGTTAAAAGGATGTTTTAAGATTGTAATAATTAATGACTTTAAAGTAATGTAGAGCATCAGAAATGTTGGAACATTTCAGAACTCAATTTTTATAGAAGAAACCTTTGTACATTCCCTTAGTTCAGTAATAATTGTAGTGTGTAAAAATCAATTTTGTAAATAATTCAGAGGTCAGAGTCTGACCTGCTGCAGGCTGTGTGATTATTGTATTGTGCTGTTGTATAATGTTTCTTTCTTGGTACTGAGATGTTTGTAAGGTACTGCCTTGGCCTTATGATTGATTCTTTTTCAATTGCTTTGTTTGTGTTTTTATGGAAAAGATTGTGATGTAGAAGTTTTTAAATTGTGAAACAAGCCTGCCTTACTGTACATTTTAGAATGTATGGACTTCAGTCTGTTGTCTATTTTTCAAAATACATTTTATATCTTCACTGAACGTGTGTCCATCCGTTTTTTGATCATAAAATTGCATTCAAGAAGCTTTAGATATTTTGCAATGTATTACTTGCTGATTCTGGAGTATGATAAAAAGTACCATTGTAAATGGTATGTCCATATTTTTAAATGATAAAGTACAGCACTGTGAAAAACCATATAATGAAGATCCCTCCCCCAATTTAAAAAAAAGTAAACAAAATACAAAGGTTCCGTTCTGACAAAGGGTCACTGGATTTAAAACATTAAATCTGCTTTTCTCCCCACAGAGGCTGCCACACCTGAGTTTCTCCAGTGGATTTTGTTTTAACAAAAATAAAGTGCTGATCTAGTTCTAAAGCAGGCTGTCCTCCAGACACAAACAGAGCATGTTGGGAGACCACATTGCAGCCCCCTGTATTCTTGTATAGCAGGTTCCAACCATCCCATCTGGAAATTATTGCTCCATATCTAATAGATTCCCATTCTAAAGTATGTTTGCCACTCTCAATTTCAGTTTGTGAGGTTTGAAAGGAAAATTACTCCAATAAAGGACATTGAAGCATAACTGGAAGAAGCCTTAAAATTGGCAGAAATAGCTTGCATCCAATTTTACTTTTTAAAAGGTTTTGGACAAGATAAAACTTAAGCAAGGGAATGAAGCCAGCAAGGAGATTTCAGCTCTTCGCTGCCAAGAAACCATGTAAAAATTGTTGTTCAGACCAGCTTGCCTACCTGCAAATTGAGAGATAACATAACCACTTTCAGTATATTTTATATTTGATACCGTTTTGCAGTGGTTTATTTACAATGGTCTGAAATGTACAATATGAACAACCATGATCAGCTTCAATGCAAAACAACAAACGTAAACATAATTCCAAGTAAAGAATATTTCAACAGCACTAGCAATTATCTTAATTCTACGATTTTTTTCGGAACTTTATCATGTTTTAATTTAACTGTCACTATTAGTTTACTGCATTGTTGCCTAGATGTCCCAAATTAAGAGTTAAGCTAACAACAATTTCCAAAATGAAAGCATAATAATATGCAAACTAGAAATCTGAAATAAAAACAGAATAACTCCCATCTGGCAGCATTTGTGGATAGTGGAATAAAGTTCTGAAGAAGTCCTATTGGACTCAATGTTAACTCTTCCTTTCTCCATGGATGCTCCAGCATTTTGTTTTTATTTTAATTTCCAAAATGCCATTTGTCTGAACTAAGATTATTTTGAACTAGAATTAATCTTTTAAAAAGTTGGTCTTACATTTTTATAAAAGCAAAATGATTCACTTATTTTTGAATAGTGGAATTACTTCATCCAATATTTTTAAACACTAAATTGATGTTTACTCATTTTCGCAGCCTAGATTTCAATACTCAATGTTATTTTTAAACTCATAAATTATTTTACTACTAAGAAAAGCAAACAACTCCATCGTGAGTTGATTTGGTCAGTTCAGTCAAAGAAATATTGCACTCAAAAACACAAATTTAATGTGAACATAAAACTGTTTTCCTATCTTTCAGTTGAGCTACATTGGATCGACAGTCTACAGTACTGATATGTCCTGTCTATTACAGGAAAAATGAATAGTCAAAGGAACTACTTTAAAAATGTTCATTCTTCATTGGTATTCTGCAACTGAATTAACAATATAATTTAGTTATTCTCTATATACTGGGTATAACATGCACTTAACCAACAAGATGTCATCTGTGTATTTATAACATTAGTATTAGGATCTGACATTCTGTCTGACAATGACAAGCTGCCCCCTTCTGCTCTTCCCATTTTAAACAGAAGAAGCAATCAATGACATTCCAATAAATATCTGAATGATACAAAATAATCTAGATCATTCGCAACAATCTGGACTTACATTATCAACTTAAATAACCAAAATGCAGCTGCATCACAGCACAAAGCTAAAAATGAGGATCAAAACTTTTTCCTTTTCCTCTGACAGTAAGAAGGTATACAGAGGTATTACCATGGAGACTGGCAACTAATTGCTACCCTACATTCTCAGTTGCAAGGGCTACATAGGCTAGAAATACCTGAAGCAGAGACAAATGAAGATGAAATACCCCCAGACTGGAACAAGATCATCCTCTAGAAAGTATACTTTCCAGTTTCCCTTACTCAACGTTCCATAAACTAGCATTGATCCATGTAAACCTATCTTTTATATAAATACCTGGTGTTAATCACATTATACATTCTGCCATGCTGTGGTAACAATATAAATTTGAACTAAAAATGTCTCCTGTATTACATTTTTTAAAATGTAAATCTGCTCCATTTGCAAGTAACCTAGGATCACTGAAGAATCTTCAGTCAAATTTCATGCTTCTGGTAATTTTTGCCTAACAGGACTGTGATAATATCCCTAAACAAAATTTGAAAGCAAATGGTTGAAGAACAGCTTCAAAGGATAAGAATCCCTTGGATTTTTTAAAAATATACAATTTACTGTGTGGAGATTAATTTTTTTGAGAAAATGCAGTATGATGCCCAACTAAAAGTGCAGCCAGGAGGTAAGTACTCTTGTTTTCTGTATAGCATTTTTAAAATCTGTAACTGGTATAGGAATTATAAGATTCTATAATTTAGGAAATGGTGTTACATTATTTTAAAGAACTTATAAATGAAAGTTATGCCAATTGTCTTTCAGAAGCAGTATAGTCACTCTGCCTCTAATCATTAAATAGTAAAGCTTTTGTTTAGGGGGAAAGAACCTGTCGGAAACAGTCTTATTTCTGGCATACTGTGGAAATCCAAGGCATTATTGTAGATAAATAAATGCCTTGCCTTTTAAAGATAATTTCTGGCACTACAAATGCAGACAGTTGAAAGTTCTTCACTCTATTCAATCAGTTTACATGCCATAATTGTCCTATAATTTGCTAATCTCTCAAATTAATAGTCATTCAAAACAAAATAAATTGATGTGGCTGTGATAGGAAATCTTGTAATTATTTAGAAATTACAAAGGTTCTAACAGAGTATTTTCAGTCATCTTCAAGTGCTGAAGCTGCAGTCTTAATCTTCTTATTTAGCTCTTCTGGTGATTTCAGCAGTTCTGTTAAGTGGTTGTGTGGAATCTCGAGCAGCATTCCTAAAGAAGATTGCAGAAGTATTAATGCCATTAATAAAGGCTACATGTTCTAATCAAATCACTAGAATACTAATTTGATGGCTTGACTCCAAACTACTGTAAATGTTGCAGAACCACCATATGAAAAAGGCAAACATCCAGGAGATTACGTGTTTACAATATATGTGTAAAACCAGAGAAACTTACATTTATTTCTTTTTATGAAGTCATAGATTCTGCTGCTGAGGATAGGCATTTTAGTGATCCCATCAGCTAAGACATTTTACAGTCATTTGTGCTTGTGCAGTTCCTTTGACATATACTCCTGAAGCCAACAACTACTTGTTCTGTGCTAGTTATCAAATAGTGCACACTTTTCCATTTTCACAGTGGCGTAAGAAGATAAATATGTTTTTACTAGTACCTACATGATTGTAAAGTAAGCAAGAAAGAGTTGTTTGTAGCCAAAAGACAATGACCACCAACCTAAGGTCGGTGCTTTTCTTTTGTAACTTGAAATGTTTTGAGATTTTTGACTATTTGGACTCAGAGGGGTTTCCTAAACAACAAAATCATCATCATTCATATTAAGCTGATGAAACTGACAAACAGGACCACAACACAAACTTCTGGAAATGTGATTCAAACAAAGCCTATAGCCAGAATGGAGCTTCCATTTATCAGCCCATGACAGTGGATGTGCTAAGACATGCAGTGAACAATATTTTTCAATGTCTTCAGTACTAAACTATTTGCAACCCAGGTATTATGTTTGTTCTGAAAAGGTCATGTCAGACTTGAAACACTAACCCTGTTTCTCTCTTTACAGATGTTATAATACCCACTGAGATCATTCAGCATGTTCTGCTTTTATACCATTGTGACCTTTTGAAACTACCTCCCAACCACACATTCACACAATCAACATGATTACCAATGTCCACCCCAAGAACACTGCCCAACTTTGTTTCTGCCTGTATTTATCTGCTGCTGAAATGCTCAGGCAAGCCTTTATTACTTCTAAATGCAACCAATATTTCCTCTTCCCGCTTTTACAGCACTTATTAAAACTTGATAATTTCACGAGCTTTTTTTGGTCCATCTTATTATTTGCTGTGTGCTTCAGTGTCAAATTTTCTTTTATAATGCTACTAAAAGGTGCCTTGGGATCTGATATTGTTTTAAATGCACTACATAAATGCCCATTGTTGTTGCTGCTGTTAACTTAAAATCAGGAGCGATTAGTTGCTAGGAATCCATGCCTAGGACAAAAACAGACTAATCCACAGACAGACAACTGACTGATTCAGTGATCCAGCCTTTGGTTTCTTATTCAGCAAAGAAAACATGACCAGACTCTGGAAATATAATACGGAACTCATCATACAGAATAAGAAATCTCTACTTCAGTTTAGTGCCAATTAGTTTCAGTCAATTTTCAAAGTATTTTGATAATCTGTTAGTGATATTAGTTGAGGGATAAACATTGGCTAGGACAGAAGGAAGAATTCCCCTACTCATCCTCGGCACAGAGTTGGGCATCCACCTGAAACAGCAGGCATAGCCTCAGTTTAAGGGTTCAATGCAACGCTTCATCAAAACTGCAATACAGCGTCAAAGATATCGAAAATGTAAAGGAAAAAAATAGAGAATATAATACTGTACATAATAAGGGATAGGACTTTTAATTACACATACCTGTTATCCTGCTTGCATGGTCACTGTATTTTGTATTGTTGATGTAACAATATAATTCCTCTCCGAGCTGTTCAGTTTCACTGTCCAGATCACTTCCATCTTCACCGTTCACCAATTCCGGATTCTGAGTAGCTGACTGGGACAGTACTGCCTGTGCTTTTTGAACAGCAGCATGTAGTGCTAACCTGTCAGTCAGCAGCACCTGAATGGCTGAAGGATCCAGTTCCAATAGCATTCCTAAAACCAGAAAAGGCATGATGTTCCTGTCACACTCGAACCATTTAATATACAGAATTTGTAGGATGTAAATTCCCTAAAATAACAAACTGCATCCCAACAATAATGACTTGCATAGCTGCAACAACAAAGCATTCTAAAATATTTTTGCAGTGCCAAAGACAGGCAATATGTACTTAAAATGAAGATCAAAGTTGAGAATCAAACTTCAACCAATTGTTGTCAGTGTACAGTAACATTTCCTACAGGCTGTTTGTGTTCTAACACAAAGGAAAATTAAGTCCAGTTGACAGTACGTTGACACTTCATTAATTTTCAATTGAACCTGTTTGTTACGAAAACCGCTTTTTAAAGGAGTATTTTCCATTCAAATACACAATAATTTGTTAGCATTTTAAAGTGGAATAATTCCTATAATTAACTCATATCATTTTGATTGAGAAACTTGTTGAGTTTTTGTACTATAATTTCAGTTTTACATCCTATAAAAATCACAAGATTTTATGCAATAACACTAGCTATTCGTCTCATTTAGGTAGATATTAATGTTTCTTTGAGGCAGTGTTATCTCAAGCTATGTCTAATTTATTACTGACATGCCAACTAGACAAAACCATGATATTCAGCAGTGGCCAAATCATACAGATCAAAAACTTAAATGTCAGGGTGATTGTACTGTCTATGTTCTGCCACAGACGCAGCACAATCCTACTTAGTAAGTACAATTATAAACAAAGTTATAGATGTCTGGGGCACAGCATCATCTTAACAATGGTTGTTTCTACTACAAATTCCTTAAATTTAAACCAGCAAATTCCTCCAGAACAAAAACAGAAGTTGCTGGCAAAGCTCAGCAGGTCTGGCAGCATCTGTGAAGGGAAAACCAGAGTTAACATTTCGAGTCCGGACAAAGAGACAGATAATGATCAGGCTGGGAGGGTAAATAGTTGTTAATGGGGACTATTAGTGACTAATAACAGGTAGTGTGTAATGGCAGGCTATGTGGTAACAAGGCCTGGTGTGTGGGGTAGGGGCCTGGGACATGGGAGAGTTTAGGCCCTAAAATTATTGAACTCGATATGGAGTCAGGAGGGCTGCAGGGTCCCCAAGCTGAAAATGAGGTGTTATTCTTCTAGCTTGCATTAAGCTTCGCTAGAACACTGCAGCAAGCCAGAGACAGACATGTTGGTCAGGGAACAGGGTGGTGCGTTAAAGTGGCAGGCTACAGGTAGTTCAGGGTCTTTTATGCAAGCAGAACATAGATGTTCTGCGAAGTGGTCACCTAGTCTACGCTACATTTCCCCAATGTAGAGGAGACCACATTGTTAGCAGTGAATGCAGTAGACTAGATTCTGGGAAGTGCAGGTGAAGTGTTGCTTCACCTGGAAGATATGTTTGGGCCCTTGGATAGTGAGGAGGGAGGAGGTAAATGGGCAGGTGTTGTACCTTCGCCGGTTACAGGGGAACGTGCCGTAGGGCTGTGGGGGGGCGTTGGGGGTTAAGGAAGTGTGGACCAGGGTGTCTCGGAGGGAACGGTCCCTGCGGAATGTGGACAAGGGATGAAAGGGGAATATGTGTCTGGTGGTGGTATCTTGCTGGAGGTGGCGGAAATGGCGTCTGATGATCTTCTGGATGTGGATGCTGGTGGGATGGTAGGTGAGGATAAGGGAACGCTATCGCTGTTGCGAGGGGGAAGAGAAGGGTGAGGGCGGAAGTGCGGGAGATGGGTCGGACCTGGTTGAGGGCCTTGTCGACAACAGAGGTGGGCAATCCTTAGTTCAGGAAGAAGGTGGACATTTCGGAGGCTCCCTTGTCGAAGTTGGCCTCATCTGAACATATAAGACAGAAATGGAGGAACTGAGAGAATGCGATGGAGTCTTTACAGGAAGTGGGGTGTGTATAGTCCAGGTAGCTGTGGGAATCGGTGGGTTTGTAGTGGATATTAGTAACCAGTCTATCCCCAGAAATAGAAACAGAAATGAGGAAGGGTCACCGGACCCGAAACGTTAACTCTGTTTTTTCCTTCACAGATGCTGCCAGAGCTGCTGGGCTTTTCCAGAAACTTCTGTTTTTGTTCCTGATTTACAGCATCTGCAGTTCTTTCCTTCTTTAAATTTCTCCAGAATCCTCGGCGTAACAGCACACTGCAATATTCGGGGTTGAACAAATGCACTGGGGAGATTCTCATAATACAATAATCAATTTGTCAAAGTCAGTGCATTTGTTACTTTAGAACATCTTAACTCAAGGTCTTGATTGCTTACTGCTCAGGAAACCAGATGGACCTACTTCAAAAACCAGTTCACACCAAAGTTCCAACTGTTACTTTCAAATTCCCATACAGTGAGTTATCAACTTAGCCCGCAGACTGTGTAGAAGTTGTCATGTTGTCAGCCTAAAGGAAGAGATAAAAATGTTGTGGGCCTTGCATACATTCTGTTATCAGGTTGGAGGTGGTGGTCAAATGTCCCTACGTGTTTGCCGCGAGGTGTATGTAGTCCAGTTTGACAAAGAAAAGTGAAGAATGGAGACTGGAAATACAATTGTGTCAAAGAGTGTTGAAGGCTTCTGTATGCACATTTTTTATATTAAAACAAATGCAACAGGGTAACAGATTAGCAACCCACAATAGATTTTAAGACCACCATGACAAATTCTGAAACCAAACTGCAAAAATCTAGTGAGATAGCAAGAACTGCAGATGCTGGAGTCAGAGATAACAAAGTGTGGAGCTGGAGGAACACAGCAGGCCAGGCAGCAGAGGTGTAGGAAAGATTTCCGATCCGAAACGTCAGCTTTCCTGTTCCTCTGATGCTGCCTGGCCTGCTGTGTTCCTCCAACTCCATACTATGTTACAAAAATCTAGTACTTTTTTTTGGCCCAGAAAGCAGTACCATGAAGAATGCTCTGTCAACATGAAAAACAATAAGAAAGGACACTGGACTCAAAACGTTAACTCTGTTTCTCTCTCTACAGATGCTGCCAGACCTGCTGAATTTCTCCAACAATTTGTGTTTTCATTTCAGATCTTTAGTATTGCAATTTTTTTTTGTTTTATTTTGATGATTAACTCTTGTCTTTCAGAGAAGAGGACCTGCCACCCCTACCTGGAAGACACGTGACGAACAAACACACATTTTGTGGCTGACTCAATGCTGACCAAAGCGGCCTGGCAAGTCACCCAGTCACCAGCGGTTGTAAAAAGGCTGATCATCACTTTCTCATGTTTAGTAGTAATGGGCAATAAATGCAACCTTGTCAGCATCATCCACTTATTGAAGGAAGATAGCGAGAGTATTTTCTTTTAGATGGATTTGGTCTTGATGAATAGTAATCTGTCCAATTCTATGACATTTATTTCCATTTTAATTCTAAGCCACTAGTAATACAGATTGTAGGGGTAATGGTTAGTAATAAACTTGATTCCTTTCAAAAACATTGCTGTGCCCAGAACTACAAAATTATTAGGAAGGGTCACTTGACCCGAAACGTTAACTCTGATTTCTCCCCAAAGATTCTGCCAGACGTGCTCAGCTTTTCCAGCAATTTCTGTTTTTGTACAGCATCTACAGTCTTTTTTTCAGTTTTTGCTACAGACTTATTAGTTTGGAAAATTCTTAATTGAGTTAAAAGTCAAAAGAGCTTCATTACTGATGATAACACTTTATTGAAGATGGATACAGATTCTATAAACACAGCATTTAATAAATGAACACAAATGGTTTTCAACATAGAATACAGACAGTTCCTGCAATAGTTATCCAAGTCAAAAAAAATGAGTGAATTCTAGGTTGAATTTTCTAATTTGCTAAGTCATTGCCATTTCTCAAGCACCTAAAAGCCAAATTAAACTGACCAAGAATAATAATATTGGAAAGTAATGCTATTTACAAAAGATGGGGTTTTGTTTTAAGAAGTGACATCAATAATCCCCAACCTGGATGAAAACCCCATGATTGACAAAAAAATAAATTTTCAAATCTTTATATCTCTTGGCAATGACACCCTGTTGCGTTTTGGAGATGTCAACTTGTAGGATTGGTTTCCTGTTGCCCAACATATTTGTCACCTCTCAAAAATTAATTTATATCTTCAAAGGATACAAGATTCTCCTTACCAGTAATGTAAGCGCAGTTCTGTGGATCGATCTTTTCGACCTGTTCAAAAATCTTCTCTCCCAGGTTCTCTTTCACATCGTCAAAATCTGAATTATTGGACATCTCCCTCTCATTTGGCATTTTTCTAAAAAAAAGTGTAAAGCTTTGAACTTTTGAATTACTGTGCCCACAAGATTTTGTGCAAGATACTTATCAATGTCTCTTAACTTCATATTAACACGTCCAGTCTATTGTTAAATATTTACACTGCGGTACATTCCCTAAAAACAGAGTAGTCCATTATAAATTTTAATGTGCCGACAACAATTCCAATTCCAGAAAAACAAATTTTCTCTTCAGAGCCTTGCAAACTATTAAGTAAAATAATCTTCTTTTTCTCTTCCTTATAGAGCAACTCATGCAGTACTCTATTTCTTATTCTGATTTTATGTTCAGCAGATTGTGGGGACATACAATTGGTTCATCAACACTGATATTTTGTCAATCAATCGCTAAACTGTAAAGTGCTGTGTAAAAGTATTCTAAACCTATTTGCAAATAACATATAAATCCACACAAACGTACAGCTCCAGTGCTTCCTGTGCAATGTGAATCTTTTGTTCTAACAGATCCAAGTCACTGACGAGTTTCTTTACTTCTTTACGTCCCATTTCCAGTAACATACCTGGTTTGGCACAAAAATAAACCGGCATGCAGTACAGTTAGAGTTATTGTAATTTGTGTTTGACCATCTACTTCAACTTCTTTTGCAACCATCTCCCTACAAAAATGATGTATCCAAAAATGTCTGCTCAATTCAAAATTGCATATTATAATTCCACTTTCATATATGAAGGTGACAAAGTTAGATCAAAAATCTGAGCTTCGAACTATTCATTAATATTTATTTTATTTTAGTAGCTGGTCAATGCTAGTGTTCAATTGATTTGTCCCCCTATAACACATTCTGTGAGGATTTGGTTGATCCCTTCACCACAAAAGTAAAATTGTTCAAACATGATTGTTTAACAGATTCATCATTATCTCTTTTTGGAAGAGTTTTGTCAGGATTCTTCACTTGTTACTTATTTTTATTTTTAGTCGATGCTTCGATAGGACACCAACGCACCTGTTATTTTTTCACTGTGCCCAGTATTATGGATGTCCACTAGGTCATACAATTGATCACCTAATGAATCAGTGGAATCAGAATCCGTATCATCTTGCCCGCCTTTAAACAGACTGGAAGTCAAACAAAATATTTGTTTCTCAAACATCAAAATTAACAGTAGTACAGACAGAAAACATTAGCCATTTTGAGCTTAATAGGCCACATTAAATTTAAGATTACATAAATTCCGATTTTTCAAAAAAAGTCATTCCAGCACATTCCAGTACCCCAACCACCACAGCCATATGGAGAATGTTACTATAAATCTATCTCACACTCTAAAATTAAAATGGTACTCAAAAGGATACCATGGTGTATTAAAGCTGAAATAAGTGTATTGTCTACATTGAAAATAGTTAGAAGTAATGTCATATTGAGAACAAAATGTTCAATACCATTTATTTATGCTTTGACACTTTTCTGTAGAATTCTGGAGTGTGCTGAATGCTTTTTGAAGTCCAGCAGACAGCAACTTGTCATCCTGTATCATCTGATCCAGTACAGGAACTGGGAGCTCCAGCAGCATTCCTGTAAGAGGCTCAAAATAAAAAGACTATTGTGCTTTTTATGTAAAATATGTCCATAATTTATGGTATTTTAATGCATTTAAATTAGATGTTTACAGCTGTCAGTGTAATTTAGTTTCATAATCATGTATTATTAATAAGGAGTGAGAAGATTAATAGTACAGATTTATTTCACAATGAACAACAGGAATTTTCCAAGAGGATAATTAAATGATTAAAATTGTGAGAAGAATCTACATTTGTTACAAATTTCACACAAATCTGACAGTTATTATGCTCATCTTTTTGATCTTCTTTTGACTGACTCTTCAATCCCTCAGTCCTATCTTTCTTTGCAAAAGCATTTAATTACCTTTTGATTGATGTTATACCATTCATTTCAGTGGCCTCTCACAATAACTTTTGCAAAATAAAAATTAACCAAATATCTTTCTCAATCCAAATTGCTCATTTTTAACATGGGTCGTTGTACTTCAGCCCTCTGTTCAAGTGGATAAGCATTTGAATCAATTTGTTAAACTCTATATAATCTTAAAATTCAGAAAAACTACTTTGGAGTTTTGTTTCCAGGACACAAACTAGGGACGTATTCCCTGGAATTTAGAAGGTTAGATGGAATGACTTGATCAAATCTTAAAGGTATCAGAAATATAGAGAGAACCTATCTTGCTTAGGAGTAGGGACTTGGTCTAAAAATTAGAACTAGAGTTTTCAGGAGTGAAATTAGGAAACACTTCTGCATGCAAAATGTGGTATGAGTTTAGAACTCCCTTCTACAATTGCAATTGATGCTAAATCAATTGACATGTTTAAATCTAAAATTTATTGATCTTTGTTCATTGATCTTTCCATCAAATTTGTCTTTCTGATTAGTACTGTCCCAATCATTGAGTGCCATAATTTAGCAAAGCTATTCACAACTATATAATTATTTGTTTTCTAATCTGTCTTCTGACAATATAACATGGTATTGTATTTTTTTACATGGTAATAGCTTAGTTGATTTATCCACATTGCCTCTGGAGATTTCCCAATCAGTACCACATAAGTTATATTTGGTTTTAGGCTTTATTGAACTACACATAGCTTATCTACTGATGGTCATCTAAGAATACAAAATTATTCTGATTCCTTTCCTGCTGTTACTGGTATCATCCAAAACTTTACTATTTTGCATATGATACGTTCATATAGGTCATATCTCTAAACTACACTCAGGAACCCATACAACAGTCCACTATAAAACTAAAACAACTGTACCTGTTAGTTTTATAGCCATTTCTGGATATCGTGGGACAATAGCATTATAAAGCTTTTCTCCTAGTGTATTCTGTTGCTCCAAATATTGCTTCTCCATTTAAATCATTTTAGATAATAAGCTAAAGAAGGTGTGAAGTTCCCCATCCAAGTCGTCCTATCCTGTTGTCGGGTTATGGATGCCTTCTTCAATTTCAGAGCGCTGTCACAAAAAGAATCTCGAATTATTAATTCCTTCTCACCCGAGACAACTGAGAACAGATCAACTGCTCATTGATTTCGTCAATGATTTATGGACCGTTATATTTGCTGCTATGTTTCCCTTGAGAACAATCACTGAACTTGTAGCTTGCGGGGAAAGAACAGAAATGTTGGGAATACTCAGCAGGTCTGACAGTACTGGGGTGAGAGACAGAGACAGAGAGAGAGAGAGAGAGAGAGAAAGAAACACAGTGAGAGAAAGTGACATTTCAGATCAAACTCCCAGCTGCTGAATGTGATGGAGACAAACTGCAGTAACTCCCTGCAATAATATCACAGACACAAACCAGAATATGGAAACTCAAAGAACCTTTTTTAATTCTATTTTACGAAAGAAATCTGAAACGAATGTGGATACAAAAATACCCACCGCACGATCACAAACAGTTTCGCTGCGACTCGGCCATTACAATCACTACTACAACAACAACTGCAACCAGGCGACGTCACACGCTGATTGCATCATACGCAACGCGTCGCCCGCTGATTGCATCATACGCACCCCGTCGCCCGGTGGACACCCTCGAACTCCCCAACCCCGCGGCGGATTCAAAATAGTTCCACACAATACACCGAAAATGAAGAACGCCTTCCTTCGGCACAGATTTAACTGAGAAACCAAGTGAATCGAGATTTTGAAAGAAATAAAAATGCGGTAATATTTTGATGGGGGGAGACGTTGTGAGGTGTCCATGTGGGATGGAGCCGGAAGTAGTCCCGATCAGGCGGAGGGCGGTTGTGATAAGGCGGCGCGTGGGGAGGACTCGCTCTTTTTGCGGACGGCGGCGGCGAGAGCAGAGGTTCGTGAGGGAGAGCGAGAGGGGGAGGATGACAGAGACACACACACACACACACACACACACACACAGAGAGACTAAGGGAGGGTGTTCGTGGGGAGGGGGTGGTGAGGGACTAACTGGGGGGGGGCCGGGATTGAGGACCTTGCCGTGGAGCTGATAGCCAAGGCCCGGCCCGCGGCCTAGTGCCGAAATTTTCGGAACCTGTTGCTCCCGGACAGGCCGCACTTGAAGTGTCGCTTGTGGCTGAGCGGGCGGGCGGGAGTCCGGGGTGACCTGACCTGGCCGCCATTATCGCATCCATCCCGGTGGGGGTGGCTGAGGCCTGGGCCTGGCTGCATGTGGCCGCCTCTTGGTGGGATTCCCGGCCCTGGGTTTGTTGTGCGGCCGGGCTTTCCCATGTTACTGAACATCGAACTGAGTATCTGTCTCTCTCTGTGTCCGTGTCCAGGAGGAGATGTCGGCTCACCTTCAATGGATGATCATCCGGAACTGCTCCAGTTTCCTGATTAAAAGGAACCATCAGGTTTACAGCACCGTGAGTATTTGCAGTACCGTCTGAAGTTTAAAATTAGCTCGCGGTAGTTTCATGTTTGTTTGAAATTTGAACTTTGTGCGTTCCATCTGCCATTATTGAAGCAGGGCTTTTTGGCTCAGGATTTGAGTTTGTCTACCTTTTTAACGTTTCAGTGCTTGAGGCTGAATCCTGTAGAGGATCAAGGCAGCAATTGTCTATACTTGCCCCTGTGAGTGAGTTAGTACAGGTTCATAGTTGTGACTTGTGTGATGTTTGTTCTTGTCCCATTCTGATGGCTTTGATTTTATTTTCCTTCGATGTAATCAAGACAATGATTCAATATCTTGTTTACCAGTTGTCCCTGTTGATATTGCTGCTGACCATTTGTGCAGTAAAAATGCAGAGTCAAATGTTTTCTCTGGTTGCTGGCGTTGATTGCTAGGTGTGGTACTGCCATTCTGTGTTAGTTTTAATTCTGTCAGGTTGCTGATTTGTCTGAGTATAATTCTGCAGGCATTGATCACCCTTAAGTGTGTGCATTAGAAATTGAAATGCTTGTGCTTGTACTTGTACATTTGTTGAGTTAATTCAGGACTAATTACTCATGTGGTACTGGTGACCAATTGGATAATCCCGCGAATCCCACTTGATCCTTGTGGCTTTGCAATTTTATTTCCTTTTAAGATCAATTTCTTTTTCAGTAATTGCTTTAACTTAAAGCACCCTTCTTGTAGTACTTCCAGTCTGTTGGCACTTGCTGCGTAATAATTGTTTGCATTTCCCTCCACCGTTGAATTGGATCTTTAATCTGTTCCCTGGTCTGTGTAGTTCTGTGCATTGTTCACTATCTTCTAGGCCACCAGGACCTGCTGCCTTATCTTGGATTTATGATAATTTGTTTACATTAATGCAGGGTAGCATTGGAGTGGATTTTTGTGTTCCCTTTTCCTAAATCTTTGACTCTGTCCTGTCCCTGCGACGTAGGAATCCAACAATCTGAAGTCCAGGAACTCTTTCCGTTACAATGGACTTATTCATCGCAGAACTGTGGGTGTAGAGCCTGCAGCTGATGGGAAAGGAGTGGTGGTCGTCCTGAAAAAGCGAGCGGGTAAGTGTGTTGATCCCCCTGTTTTTAAATTATACAACGGCACCTCATTGTGATTTCACGTAGTCAGATACGCCCATCCAGCCTAATTTGCTTCGTTGTGTGGGATTGGTTGGAACTTTACCACTTCTTTGTCTTTCCCTGCCACCTCGTCACTATCACATTGGTCTGATTCACTGACTAAAATGATAACGTTGGCAATTCTGCTCTTTAGATTGGTTTGTACTTCAGATACCTGTCAAATTATTGCTGATCTTCCCTGTCTTTTTTAGGTATTTGCTCTGGTTGTGAGCATACATTTTTCTTTTGATCATGAGTCTTATATATAAGGCCACAAGAAGTACAGGCAGGAGTAGCTCATTCAGCCCCTCAACCCTGCTCTGCTTGTCTACCTTCCTGCATTTTCCTTGTAATCCTTCATTCCCTGACTGACTTGAAGACTTATCATAGTTTTAAATATACATAAGGACTTTGTCCCCCACAGCTCTCTGTGGCAAGAAGTACCAAAGACTGTCGACTCTCAAAAGAAATTCCTCATCTCAGTATTAAATTGGTGCCCCTTAATTCTGAGAATAAGCCCTCTGGTCCTAGACTCTCCCATGAGGGGAAACATCCTCTCAGCATTTACCATGTCAAGCCCCTTAATAATTCTCTGTTTCGAAAAGTTGATCTCTCATTCATCTAAATTCCAGTGAGTAGAGGTCTGACCTGATTTTATTTTTTTCTCTCTCTCTCTCGCTCGAGAAGCCCTCATTACCAGATTATAAGATTGTCTGATATGTGGTCTCCTGCATACTGCTTTTGACACATCATTTTACATTGCTTTCTTTTTGGGGTTTCAGGTCAACGCAAACCAGCAACGTCCTATGAAAAGATCACCATCAACAAGAATAGCCGCGCTACCCTAAGCAGTTTGCGACACATCATCCGCAAGAACAAGTACCGAAAGGACCTTCGCATGGTATGAAAAGATTATACTTTTTACAGTGTCAACTGTTTGGCTTGTGATACTAATCAAGTAATTTTGATTCCTCCTAATGCAGGAGCTGGTTAGAATGTTTTCCTGTCTGACCTTTACTTCAACTGAAAATATTGTCTTGGTATTACAGTTCCACAGCAACCTTTGTTGCCATGCCCCAGTAGCCAATTACTGTATTGTCAACTAGCCATTTGCTTATTTGGTGTAGATCAGCTGACATAGGATAGACCCGTTGGAAAATGGGACACTTTTTTTTGTAACTGAGAGTTTGTCCAAGCCCCCTTGAATTCATTTTTTAAAATTGAGAATAGTGAATTTTACTGTTTAAATTTGCAAAAGTCTGTTCTGGAACACTAATGGACAGTTTGATTCCACAGGTCTGGCATAATTTTAATCGCCTGATTATTCTCCCTTGTCTGCTCTTTTCCTATAACCTTGTAACTTATAAACTTTTTTAAACAATGCATTAAGGAATTTGTCAGAAACTAAGTACTTTGCAGAGATGTTTTCTCAGCTCTCATCTTTAGCATGGAGTTTTTGAGAGGTTGGTCAAGCTTAAAGATCTACTGGCGGTCTTTGAGGATGTAACTAGTAGAAAAGCTGAGAGAGAGCCAGTGGATGTAGTGTACTTGAATTTTCAGAAATCCTAAAGTGGACAGAGTTAAAGCACATGGTAAAAGATTGTCATGGATTGATAATTGGTTGACAGACAAGAAACATTGCCAGAAAAACATCCACTTCTATTCCCAGACTGACAGTGACTAGTCAGGTATTGCAAGAATCGATGTTTCAGCCCTATCTGTTCACAATTGACCTGGATGAGGGAACCAAATGTAACATTTCCAAATTTGTTGACCCCACAAAACTAGACGGGATTGACTGCTGTGATGAGGATGCAATGATTTAGAGAAGTTGAGAGGGCAACCATAAAGCAGATGCCACACAACATGGCTAAATATGAAGTGTTGCACTTTGGTGCAAAAAAAACAATTATTTAAATGGTGGTATATTGGGAAGTGTGGGTGTACAATGGGATCTGGATGTCTTTCTCCACCAAATGGGCCCATATTCACTACAGTTTGGAAAGATGAGAGGGGGTCTAATTGAAATATATTAAATTCTAATAAGACTGGACAGAGTAGGTGCAGGTAGAGTGTTTTCCTTGGTTGGTGAATCTAGAACCAGGAGTCTCTCAGTTTCAAAATACAGGGTAGATCATTTTAGGACTGAAAATAAGAAAAAAGCCCTTCAAAGGGTAGTGAGCTGTGGAATTCCCTACCTCCAGAAGGCATTGCAGGCCAAGTCACTTTATTCAAGAAAGTGATGCAATTTTAGATTTTAAAAGCATTGAGAATCAGTCACAACAATATTGGATGGAGAGTGATTTCAGAGTTGAATAGCCTATACTCCTAGTTTGTGATTGCCTCAATTTTAAATTCATGCCCTCTCAATATCTGATTGCCCAGTGTTTAGTTTCAGCCTTTCATACCTATTCATGGATCCACTGCTCCTTAATTCTATTGACAGTCACTTGTGCTGTTTATGTAGATGTGTGAAAATATTGTCCTGAAAGTTTTGATAGTACAGTTTATTGAAAGTAAGTTAACTTGCTAATTTTGGTTTTTCTTTTAGGCTGCACTTCGACGTGCCAGTGCCATTCTAAGGAGCCAGAAGCCAGTTGTTGTCAAGAAGAAGCGCACTCGGGCCACCAAGAGTGCATAAACATGTAAAAGATGGACGTATCTTACGATTAAAATAAAGGAGGATCTTGAGTAGCTTGTTCTGTGTATTTTCATGGCAACTTTTAAAATTCACTTGTTGGATGTGTTTGTTGCTGGCAAGGTCGATGCTTATTGTGTATCCCAAATTGAGAAAGTGGCTTTTGGGTGTAGTCTCGGAAAGTATTCCCGTCGTGGTTTGGTACAGGTAGCTTATTGGACTGTTTCAGCAGTTGAAAGTCAGTAATGTTACAGTTGGCATGGAATGTCCAGGCTAAGTAAAGTCACCAGTCCTCTGAATTATTAAGATGACCTACATCTGGGTAGAGAAAAGAGATATGTCAAACACTTTATTAAAGAAGGATTCCCTTGCTGGAAGTCCAAGCTTAATCATTTTGTTTAAAAATAAATGTAGTCTTCTGATTTCTCTGATATAACAGCTGCCATGTTGGATATCAAGTTGTCTCTGCAAGAGCTGTATTTCTGAAGAAGGGTCTAGGCCCAAAACGTCAGCCTTCCTGCTCCTCTGATGCTGCTTGGCCTACTGTGTTCATCCAGCTCTACACCTTGTTATCTCTAGTACAAGGTTCCCTGATTTGCAAATTCGATTCATTGTAGGGTTTGATATGAATGTTTCCCTGTACTTAGAAATGGCTATTTTATATTCTCCTGCATTATGTTCTGACTTGAGAACAGACCTGAGAATGGAACCCATTCACAACCCAGGGTCTGCCTGCACCGGCCAGTGCCTGGGAATATCAGGAGGAGCCCGCAGCATGTTCAAGTTTGCTGCTTGGTAAAAAGCTGAAACTATATATTCCAAGCATCTCAGAAAAAAGTTCACCAGAAAGTGAACAGCTGTGGATTTAGTACAAGTTGGAGTGGAGAGAGGGAGTCTGAGGCTAGATCTTTGAAAGTAAAGAACAGGAAGCCTTCACAAAAGAGGCAAAATTTTTTTGAGCTCAGAAGAAAACTGATTTTGGTCTCTGAACTTGTTTCTAGCTCTCTACAGATGTGACCAGGCCTGTTTGAATAGCTCCAATACTATGGCAGGATAACAGTTGTCACTCACCCTTCCATTGCTGTGAAGAATAGACTGCTGTACTTGTCTGGGTGGATTTGCCCTGCTTTTTGTGGATATTCATAGCTGGGCATTTTTCCTCAATGCTGCCTAAGTATGTTTCTTCTTGAGTCTATGCTTATTCCACTTTTTTCCCCATCTAGTTTTAATTGGCAGTAGGGTTTTGGTGGAAAATTATACTCTATCTGTACTTAAGGTTCCTTGTTATTGTGCTGCTTTAAAGGCTCAGGTTTTCTCCCTCACTTACATTCCCAAATAATTCAATCCCTTGAGTGGATCTATTGTGTGGCATTTCTCCATTTTGCTGTGGAGATGATGTGCTTTGCCAGAGCTAAATGTAGCATGAATGCAATACTCCAGGTGTCATTGATGTTTAACTTTGAAGTTTTAGTGATTCAAATTTTACTTGTGATTTTGCCAATGTAGTTTGACACAGCGTCACCACAATAATTGACTCTAGTTTCCGAACTCCTCTTCAGCCTTTGTCCTAACTACTGTCAGTTCTGCTACAACGCAATAGTTGTGCTCCTGTGCAATGTCGTGTTACAGAAAATAGCGCCAAACGTGTAATAGGGCCTATGGGGAAAAGCAGCTTTAGGGGAGGACCACTAAAAAGTATCGCTAAAAAATCACTCAAGCCTAACACACAGGATAGCATAGTTTGAATAAATGTTTAATTCATATCTAATAATGAAATAAAAGTAAATTTTTTTAATACCTTACCTTGACAAAATGTCAAGATGACTTGATGGGGGAGGAGGTTTTGAGGTTGCTCTATTGTTAATGTAGGGGTTGAAGGTCGTCATCGTCATCACCTTCAGGTGCCGTTTTGGCTGCAGGCTTTGGGTAAAAAAAAAGTTAATACAGAAGTGGATGGCTGTGATTCGTTGTCTTCTGACTGTTTCTTGGGGGTTGGTTTAAAGGCATTCAGTTTTTGCTGCTTTGCCCTTTTTCTTTCATGGAGAAACTGTAAATAGGGTGCCAAATAAAATTTTATTTCACAGACTGCTACCCTGCTGCGTTCTGCATTGTAATTATCCTCTAAGAGCTACAACTGCTTCTTGATCTCCCTCAGGATAGAAGACAAAACAAAAGTGGAAAACTGTCGTGGTGCTGCATCCTGGACTATTACTACTTCATCTGCAGCTTCCACTTCCCACTCAGTGACCAGTTGTAGATCAGCTGTAGAGAAGTATTCACAGTGGGACTCGAGCAGCTCTTCAACATCCTCACTCCTTCAAATACAACTTGCTTTGCAAGATCAACACTTCTTTGATTTTTCGGAGGTTTTCTAATGGTTCAAAGCCTTTAAAATCTCAATCTGGGAGAAGCTTCAGTACTAACATTGCACATGCTCAGGACACAGCCTGTGAGACGTTCGTGTGCTGTAGACGTTCTGCGCACCAATGGAATCATAGCCAACACAAGTTTGCATTTTAAAAAGTGTTCCTCTCGTCGTCAGTCACTTTACAGCCAAATTGCACTGCTGAAACACATTATAGCAGAACTGACTGTAGTTGAAATGTAATTGTTGATTAAATGCCTTAGTTTGTGAAATATTTAGCACGTGACATTGAACTTGATCTGAAGTGGTTCTACTTTCCAAGCACAAATCTAGTTCTTTTAATGCTTTATTGGATGTATAAATTCATCTATTTTCTTCTCCATGCCTCCTCCTCCCCCTCCGCCATGTTAATATAGTTGTCAAACTGAACTATTAACCTTAGCAATTAATGTTTGCTATGAATTTAATTTCTCTTGCATTTAAAACATTTCTGTAGGAGAACTAATATTACTATATTACATATACAAGGTGCTGGACAGTAGAATTATAATGCTAAAACTGATGCTATTACCAGATTAATACTGACTTTATGGTTTGGTAAGAGGTAGATATAAAGAAATAGTAGTTTAAAAGAAGGAATTCCAGAGTTTAGGCCTTCACAGCCAATGATGAATCAATAAAAAGTAGGGTTGCTGAAGAGACCAAATCTAGGGGAATTCAGATGTTGCACAAGATTGCAATAGAGAAGGCAAGGAAAAATCTGAAGAACAGGGTAATTTTAAAATCAAGTCATTGCTTACCTGGGGTCAATATAGGTTGATGAGTGAAAGAATGATTATTAAATGGGACTAGGTGTGAGGTAGGACCTGGAAATAGACCACCTTTTGTTAATTTTATTGAAACCTCAATATAAATGGTATTGAGTCTCTGTCAATGTGTATCTGAGATCTCACACAAATATTGAGAAAGCTGCCCAAACTGGATCTTCACTATCCTAACGTATTTGAGTGGATAGGTTTCAATCTTATTCTTTCTTAGAACATTACAGAACAGGATTAGGCCCTTTGGCCCACTGTTACTGTGCCAACTGTGACACCATTCTAAACTGATCCCATGGATTTGTACATGGTCAAGATTCTTCAAATACCTATATTCCCTGCTTATTTGTTTGTCTACCTAATGCTTCTTAAGTGTTATGACATAGAAGTACCAGCATTGGACTGGGGTGGACAAGGTCAGAAATCAAATGACACCAGGTTATAGTCCAAGAGGTTTATTTGAAATCATGCAAGCTTTTGGAGCATAGCCCCTTTGTCAGGTGACTTCACCTGTTTTCACCTGTGATTTCTGTTCTTAAATGTTGCTATCATATCTGCTTCTACCACTCCCCTGGTAGTGTTCCATTTACTTACCACCCTCCATGTAAAACAAAAATACCTTGCACATTTCCTTTAAACTTGCCCCTTCTCACCTTAGACCTATTCCCCCCGGTAGTTAACATTTTTGCCCTGGAAAAAAAAACTCCAACTATCCACTCTTTCCATGCCTTTCATTTTTATATACTTCTATCAAGTCACCCCTCAGCCTTTGACACTGGCAAAAACAATCCAAGTTTGTCAAACCTCTCTTTGTGGCAAGTACACCACAATCCAGTTAATTCCATGGCTTTATTGCTTATTTATATAGGATTAATAGACCTTTTTAAAAAATCATTTGTTAGAATGCATCCTCCCAAAAGAAAATGGTACCATTTGTATTCCAGTTTGAGTTGTTTGAAGTTTTAAATGTTTTGGGGAAAAAATGTCTATTTAATGAATCTGACTATGTGTATTTCAATAGTTTTGTTGCAAGTTGTATGGGGAATAGTGGAAACAGTAATTATTGATCCTTTTGAGTACATTCTTAACTAGCAAATGTGGATTTGATCGTTTGTTGGTTAAATGGGAACTTTTCTGTGGAGTTCCTCGTTCACACTTCTGTTATGACTGAATTGGACCAATTCTGGTCGATCGCACAGTTTCTTTCTGCCTGTAAACATGTCCTTATACAAAAAGGCTGTCTGGATCTGAATTCGTGCCATGTAACATTATGCCACGGGTACCAATGAACTAAAGCTACTTTTCAAGGACAGATATGAAATATAATTTGTGAACTCTACTCTAAGCTAAGACAAAACCTACCTGCATCTCAATTTCGTTAGGTAATGATTGACCAGACACCATTCAGCAAGCTCGCTTATAATATTGTTCCAGTTATAGTTTACATATTTTAAGGCAACAGTAAAATCCATTGTATTTGTAGTTTCAGAATCCTGTCATAGGTCACACTGGGGCATTATTCTAGCTGTCAGACATGTACATGGACTGTAAATGATTTAGTATTGATGGAGAATGAATGGTGCTTGTCTATTCGTTCCTGTGCAGAACTCTCGCTTCCAGGTTCGACTTGTGATGTATGTCTTGCTAAGTGTCCCGCCAAACAACTCGGCAGTTTTGCGTCAAACCGGTGTGGGACCCACAGGCAGCGTCAGTGAGAATGGCAGAGAAGAGGGGAAGCGTCGCTTACCGCGCACTGGAGGTATTGTCTGAGGAAAGTAGGCATGCTAAAAAAAGAAATCTCTCTGGTTACATACCTGCTCTTCACGTAAGCAGAGAAGACGACAGCAAATGCTTGTGGCTTACGTTTTACTGA